GTCTTCAGGGGTGAATGAGTTAATCAGTGAAAGTCCTGATTAAAATAATCTATAATATTCAAAAATTTTGAAAGAATGAAACATTAGAATTCAGAAATCGGTACACACATAATGTCATGATGTTCCTCATTATAAATTATTAGTGTTGATATGTTGGCAGATGTGGCTGACTTTAAATGAGACTAAAGTCAATAGCGCACAGTAGGCCTATTTCTTGTTCAAACCAAAACAGAATATCCTACGGACACTTTAATCAATTTACCAATATAGCTGTAACATACATTACCAGGGCCTCGCCAGTACAAAACAGGCATGCACATGTACATGTAAATGAGACTTAGAAGTCAATATCACTAGAAATTTTAAAGTCATTACGGAGTCTGTCGACGTCAGCATACCATCATTAAGATATTATATAACTACAATATTTTTTAGAAACTCTTGTGAACTTAATAAATTCTTGCCAATGAAAAATTATATTTATCCCTGTCACAAAGTGTAAAACATACTTATCATGATATTATTATAGAGGTGACTGAGCCATTATTGACTATATCTGGCTAAAAGATCAGCTAGTACAAAAGTTGGTGCCTTGGTTTCTTTATACACCTTACACTCAGACAGGAAGTGGACAGTTCCCCTACTTGATAGGCTCATATAGCAGCGACTCTGATTGGAACAGGTTGTTCAACATTTGAGAAATAAATGTTTGAAGAATTTTTACCTTTCAAATTTTAAAGTGGGATCTAGCTAGAAACTATGTGGCAAAATCTTATCTTTTTTATAAAAAAGTGGCTAAAATGACCCTTATTTAACAAAATAGCTTCAAACTTCATAAAGTAAGCTAGCTATTCTATACGATTAATTATTTGAAGACTAAAATTGCACTAAACAAGATATAGGGCAGGTGGAACAGTGGTTAGGTACATACATTAAATACTCGTTAAGATACTTGTGTTTGCTTGACCAGTAACGTACAAACATACCCAATGTTTTTATGAGTGCACATCTAATGATAAGATGGTTAAAGGTCATAAACAACCTCACACTATACAAGATCATAAACAACCTCACCATACACAAACTACAATAGTGAACATTAAATTGAAAACCTCACTTATGTCCAAATGAAGATATATTTTTTTAAATTCAAAAGCATAAAATCTACATACTCACAAAGACATTCTTGACTAACCATTCTCAGTCTTGCCATAACATGGTGTTTTCTGACCTTTTGGCCAGTGTTTAGACTACATAGATCAGTCTATATCAATCGTCTACCTCGGGATCACACAGGTGTGAAAGGTAGACATGTTCTGACTGAATACCTGAGGACAATAACATGAGTACCATGTTAGCTACAGGTCACTGGCACTATTTCATTCACACAAAGAACTGTCTATGGTTGCTGGTAGAGTGGGTCTGTTCATAATTCTCCCAAAAATATCATCTTTAACAAAAAAAAAATGTAAAGTAACTGTCACAAGTTGACAGTGAACTCATTGTTTAAATAGGAACATTTGCTAACCCATGGATACAAATTGACTATAGGTAATCTATGAGGTATGAACAAAGTGTATTATTGTCTCTTTTTGATACTGTTATGCTCATCATTACAGTATTTTCAAACCTTTTAAATATTAACAAACCGAGCAGTTCGTTACAAAATTTGTGTATACAGGTCTTGAAAACAGAATTCTTTCAATGTAACATTTCTGAAATTGAGTAGTAAAGAAATTGGGTATTGTAGGTCTTGAAAACAGATTTTATTTACAGAAGATCCCAAGGAATAACATATGTTTACAGGAAATAACCAGGATCCATATACCGGTATATATGTACATGTATGTACAGCTGCAGGCCATCTGAATTGAACACCGAAGTATAGTGATCCTCTACTAGATTTGTGATACAGTCACTGAGTGTGTATAAAACTACACATAAGATATTTTCCTTGTATCACAATTTAATGTACCAGTTTTATTTCATAGGAATTGGTGATACATGTACTTAAATTTAAAACAAGTAATATTATATGATAACATCAAAATATGACACACAAAAACAACTATACTGATAGTAGAACTGTTATGACTTCACAATCAAAATGACATCATGCACATTTTGACATCACAAGTTGCCAATGGTTTCTGATGTCATTTTCACAGCAAATATAACTGCTCTCTTGATCTGATTAAAATAATGTTATTTTCTCTGATGGAAAATAAACGATGGGGAAAATACCATCTTTATTTTCTGTTTATATAGAAACCTTATGTTTCATAAGATAAACATGTCATTAAGTTGAGGGGAAAACAATTCCACTAGCCCATTTAACACTCAGGGCTAGTAAATTTCATTAATTACTAGGAAAATATAGGTTGATTAAGGCCAGTAAGGAAGATGTTTTAAAACCTCTGTAGGCTAGTACTATAAATGTGAAATTACAATTCCCTGTTAAAGTTAAAAAAAAATCTGTACTAAACTGTGTATTAATTGGGGGGGAGGGGGGGAAGTTCTGCAAAACCAGGGATATAAACATTAACCACTTAAACATGTTTGTTGCCTCAATCAATGAATCTGTTTTTTTAAGTAAAATCCATTTTCTTCTATATATTAAATATTAATATTATATAACATCTGTAATTACTCACAGTCGTTTTATAATGACTCACAGTAGTTTTGAGATGAAACTTTCATGATACAGAGCACCAGCTGTGTTAACCATTCTGTAATGAAGATTGGGTTTTCTCATGTGTCTAGTTGATGTAAGAACCATGCAATGTTTCTTTTCGAGTAGCAACTGCATACTAAAATATAGCTTGTCTGTTATGAGCTGTGACAAGGTCAATGAAAAGGTCATCCAAACAAAACAGTCATCTCAGAAACATCAACAAAACATATACATACCCTGGGAAAAACTACCACACATGTACTCAAACCAAAATAACGTGTCGGATAAATGTTGTATCTCACTGACTAGGTCAGCTCCACATCACCCATAGGAATGTCATACACAGGGTAGCTCAGTAATCCCATACCAGCACTCAACACACATGTACATAGAATGAAATATTTTATGTCCATATATATTCATGACAGAAACATCCCAAAATAATTCAATACTGACAGGGAAAAAATGCACCTGAGATAGGATAACTTACACAGGTATATGTCTCTTCATACCACAATGGGTCACCTATATGGTACCACTTACAGGTGATGAACATGTGAACTGTGACTATTGCATGCCTCAGTGACTTTCTGTGTCATTCCATCAAACTGTCAATTGGGTAATAAATAGGGACACGTGTATGGGCAGTATACACCCATTATACACCTGTAACTAGCCCTAAATGTCCAGGGAGACAGGTAGAGGGAGGCTAATGCCATAGGTGTTAGGATGACTAAATAGAGGTTAGGTATGTGTTAATTTCACAGGATGAGCTAATACCTACCAGGTGGGAGTGAACATCTTTACACTAATGTACAGCACACCAACTGTGGTCAGATGGGACATCAGTGTAATCAGGCCACAGATCTAGAGTGTGGTCAGCAATCCCTAGATTACTATCATACATTACGACAAAATGAATAAAAGAAACACATTCCCTGGTGTGGGTCTCCAGAGAACTCAATAAGGGACTATATACAAATGTAAAACTAATGTTAACAAATGATTATTAGACCAGTAGTTTTTCCATGTCATTTTATTTAGAAATTTCATTTTTACATTTTGTCATGTACATGAAGGGTATTCTGATTTTTAGATTAGATTTGTTTTCTAGCAATAAACCTTAACTTTGTGAGGAAATATATTATATTTTAGAGGAAAAATACCCATGTTACATTGGAAATTGTGTTGTTGTTCTATACTAGTTATAACATAGATAGGAAAACACTTTGTGTAAAACATGATTATTGAATAGATTTTAAAATTAAGTTACAAAAGAGGCTAAAAGTAAAGTATGAATTAATGAAAAAAAATGGGTTGAATATGCAGTCTGATTCAAATATATATGTTAATGCCATGTTTTTAATTTTAAAAAAAAGAAGACAACTAATGTGAAACCATTTTCTATATTTTTTCTTTAATGACAAGTCTCTTCTTTAAAAAAATAATATCACACCAGTGATCTGAAAACGCTTTTTTCTTGTAAAAAAATCTTATTGCACCCTGTAACCTAGATACCAGTGTAATTTCATGGAATGGTATATATAGATGAAATAAAATATCTCATTAATATTTAATGAGTATATAACTTTTTTGAATACATCAGTACATGTACTGTACTATCTACACATTAAAACCCTACCTATTTTTACTGATATTTTATCAACACGTATTAAAAGACAAAACGAAGAGCTTTTAGATTGTGCCTGAATCACTAATTTATACCGCAACCAACCACTTGTCAGCTGCTGCAGCAATGTACACAGTACAGCACAATATGCTAAATAGCCGGGTTAATTAATAAACAATGTCTCGCAAGATCCAAAAAACAATTTTGATAATAGTAACATGCGCTTACATGTTGTTGTTTTTTTAACAATTCATTAGAGTGAAAAAAAATGTCACCATAAATAAAATATCGACAGATTATTGATGCGTGTGATTACTGAACGACAAAATATACCAAATGGGATGAATTTACCTGCCTCTGTATATGCCCTTTCAATCATTCAGTTGGGCGAAATCAGTTGGTATCGAGAATTTACAGCAAATTGTATTCATTTGAGACGAAACCGGTGTGGTACATCGTTTTGAAATCCGAACAAGCTGAAAGAAAGGAGCACCTGTTTCCAATATTCCTGCCGTCTGTCACTTTCATGCATTACATTAGTCCTCGGGATTTACCTATTGCAGGAAGGAAAAGTCAACATATTTCCGATGGTAACTTCTCGACAAAAAGAAGCTTGAAAATTTAAGCCTCGAGAGATAATTCCTCCAAACACTCTTGTAACCACGATGTGGCTAAATTCGACCAATGAAAATACTCGGTGCGTTTGTTTAACAATGGCGAACATCACATTGGAATCTTGTTGTTTGTTGTTGGAGAGACATGTGTGACAAGCAACATGGTTAAGCATACAATTCAGATATTTGCCCGAGTGAAACCTACTCGATCTAAAGCAGGGGTAAGTCTGAACATGCTCGACAAAATGATTCCATTTAATTTTTTACTGTGGATTAAAATTGTTTCTACGGCTAAGGGGAGGGGGTGGTCAGGTGGTGGTGACTGCCGAATTTGTTATGATGACTTGTTAAAAGTAATTTGTAACATACACATTCAAAATATCCTCATGTATAGACTACAGTTAGGTCAACATTCAATTATGTTTTACTTACTTTTTTTTATCACGAACATCTTCCTTATTGGTTCCTTAAATCCAAAATTGTTGAAATAATGTAAATGATGGGCTATCAATGAATTTGCTTGATAAAACATTAATTATTTATTCTTTATAACTCCTCTTAGTGCTAAAATCCAACTACATACAGCAGATAAGGTGGCAGTACCCAAATCGGATCGGTACCCAAATCGGATCACTTTTTGCAAAAATACTTATAAATAAATAAATGTGTCAACAAATCAGTTTTAACAATGATGTTGTCTTAGAATAGATAGCCATGCACCATTTTTTGACTATAGATAATTAGTTTTTAAGTTCAAATAGTGCAAGAAAACGTAATTCAAACTCAAATGTCAATGTTTTGATTACGTTTTTAAAAAATGGAGCGTGCAACGACTACGCACCATGTTTTGGACTATAGGAATAAATTCACACTATAGAAATACTTTTTGTCACATAAATTCTCAAAGTCATCATAAAATGTTAATATGCCGACAAAAAAATATTCATTGGAAGCGTACGATACTGCAAAATTCAAGCCGTGATCCGATTTGGGTCCCGACATTCGCAAAAACAGGAGACGCTGATTCGTGATTTCAGAGCGTTCTATAAATATCTCAAGTGAGCCCCGGGTGCTAATTTCGTTTGTGAGAACACCCATCGATATTCTATTTTTGATACAACCATAAATGAATATAATTCCTCTTTTTTTTCAATGATTTAATAAAATGATGGTTTGGTGATCCGATTTGGGTACTGTCACCTTATCTATACATGCCTGGGTGCTACTTAGATGTAAATGCTGAGGGCGAAAGGGTTTCTAATATATGTTAATGTAGTTTGAATAATAATATCATCAGGTAAGATTAATGTTGAAGAACTACCTCATTCTGTAAAGCCAATATCAATTAAGTAAAAATACTAAAATAGCACGGTTCATTTAGCAGAACATTCCAGCTGAGCTGGTACGAACTTGCCTATTGGCTAGATGGAATGTGAGTTTCACCAAAATGAAGCGGGTTGTCTTCGTCTAATATGTATGAGCTTGGGACATACCAATTGCAAATTGGATTGAACCAATATTGCAGTCATTGAACATTTTCCCTTTTGTGTTATGTTTTACCAATTACACTGTATTTCACTCTCTAAGCGATGTCAGTTGTGTATTATCTCCTAAGTGAAGGCAGTAAGCAGCAATAATTTCACAATTTTATAGGTTTAAATTTTGACAGGTGATTAGGAAAAAGATGTCTTATTTTACTCTTTTTTTCACAGGTTTTGATCTCATGTCACATGCTTTATCAAACAGAGATTTATAACAACATTATTGCTCCAATAGGACACCAAGATTAGTCCTGGGAAACATAATGCGTCAGCACAAGCAATTGAGGCCAAATCAGCAAATGATGGACAGCTGATGAAATTTCAATACTATATTACGATAAAATATTATAAGACTCTTTCATGCACAGGGGTGTAGTATCGGGAAATTCCACCTAGGGTTTTTCAAATTTGGTAAAAGCTGAGAGTTTTGCCTAATTTGAAAATTTTGAGGGTGGAATTTCCCTATCCAACACCCTTGGGCATGAAAGCTCAGAAATCATGAAAATGGATTATGCGCTTGGACTGGCTACTATTTTGAAATATCATTTTTTTTCTCTGAGCTTTTTAGACGTTTTAGACGAAAAAGAATCTATCGGCCAGATTTAGCATACCCCATATTAGCACACAGAGTTTACACCGAAAAATGAGTCACATCTTTCTAATGTATATATGGTAAATATATCGTAAAAGGTTTTAATTTCATCACATTGCCTTTTCCACATTGCGGCATCAGAGATTTCCAAATTCGTGACTTCACGTCATTGTTGAGCCATTGTGACATCACATCACATGAAATGGGGTGTAAGATAGAAATTTCTGACGCCCCTTTCTTTCCCAGGACAGCTCTATCTTTGAATACTGAATAGGAGTGTTTTTTGTCAGTTTTTTTTTAGTTTAGGCGAACAATTTAGTTTAAATACCATAATTTTATTTGGTCCGATCTACAAGATCTTGATTAGTAACACAAAAAACTGATCATGATATCAGCAGAATCATCAAGGTCACTAAATAACAAAACGCTGTAAAAGTAAGGAATACCTCCAGGTACAGAAAAGTAAACTTGGACAAATCACATCACTACAGTATTATTTTTGCTTCAACTTGTTAGCATATTTAGGAAAAATTGCCTGTGGTATATTTGTATGCTTCAGTTGTATGATTTGGATGAAGATGACGATGGACAACCAAGATTGACGTTTGTCGTTCCTCGTGATTTGGCTGAAGGCTTCATCAATAACAAGAAAGAGAATTATAAATTTAGGTATGGACGTGAATATGATAGCTGCACATTAGTTACCATATTCAGCTGTGAATTAATCAAATCAAAACCTTAAGTTCTTCAATTCACCAACTTCTATACCTTGTTTCGTCAACTTCTATACCTTGTAATTTTGATATTGTTTGTACTCTACATGGATTCCCCCCCCCCCCCCCCAAGATGAACAGAAAGACCCCTGCCTGTTTCATCAAGTTTAGGATATTGTCAAGTTGTAACACATACAGAAACAATTTTGGATATAAAGTAACATTTTTGAAATACCAGTAAGTTGAGTCTCAGCCAAAAACAACCTTGACTTGTGCTTTATAGATGTCACCAAATTGTGCATTAAAATGAACTCATCTTTTTATTCCATTACATTGTCAGATTTCAACAGGTTTTTGACCAAAAATCAAAACAAGAAGATGTGTTTGAAGCAGTTTCCAAACCAGTGATTGACAAGTAAGTGAAGCACTGGAATGTAATTTTATTGAGACCTCTGTAATTATAATAATAAAACTGGAGTTAATTTAAGCTCTGGTATTCCGTCTTTGCGTATTGCAGAGTTATCTTCTCTTGTGAGCAGGTATTGATTGTTACGTCATTGGTTTGTGAGAGTTAACATCATCAATTTTTGAGAAAACGTCGTAATTTTCTCAAGCAAACCAATGACGTAACAATCAATACCTGCTCACAAGAGAAGATAACTCTGCAATACGCAAAGACGGAATACTTACTATTAATCATAATTATTGTTACATTGAATTTCTGAACATAATTGATCAATTTAATCATATACAATTCTTTGTATTCAACGTATCATATCAAAACAAAATTTAATTTAAAACATATTCAAACATGACCTCATAAGCATTTTTCTAAAAGAAAATCTGAATAATCTAGTATTTTGTAACCTTAAATAGTGTAATTTCATTATAGATTATTTGACATTGTGATGATTGAGATTAACCCTAACTGAACATAAACTATTTTTTATTTGTATTGTAGTGTATTATCGGGCTACAATGGAACCATATTTGCATATGGACAGGTAAGACAAAGTGACAGGTAATGCATATTGTGTGCATATAAATAAAACATGGACATGTAAGATAGAATGACAGGAAAGGTAGATAAATAAAACATTTACAGGTAAAACAAAGTGACATGTAAGGTAGATAGATAAAACATGGACAGGTAAAACAAAGTAACAGGTAATGCATATTGTGTGCATATAAATAAAACATGGACATGTAAGATAGAGTGACAGGTAAGGTAGATAAATAAAACATTAACAGGTAAAACAAAGTGACATGTAAGGTAGATAGATAAAACATGGACAGGTAAAACAAAGTGACAGGTAAGGTAGATAAATAAAACATGGACATGTCAACCAAAGTGACAGGTAAGGTAGATAAATAAAACATGGAAGGTAAGATAGAGTGACAGGTAAGGTAGATAAATAAAACATGGACAGGTTAGACAAAGTGACAGGTAAGGTAGATAAATAAAACATGGACAGGTGAGACAAAGTGACAGGTAAGGTAGATAAATAAAACATGGACAGGTTAGACAAAGTGACAGGAAAGGTGGATAAATAAAACATGGACAGGTTAGACAAAGTGACAGGTAACGTAGATAAACCAAACATGGACAGGTAAGACAAAGTGACAGGTAAGGTAGATAAATAAAACATGGACAGGTAAGACAAAATGACAGGTAAGGTTGATAAATAAAACATGGACAGGTTAGACTCATACAAAAGAGTAAGACATGTATAAATTATATATGTACATACGAGGCATTGATACATTAGACTTAAAGACAAGTAATTACAGATATATAGAGAAGGAGGACATCTATGGCAAATGAAATATGGTGACACTGTACTAAAGTGTACTTTTAGATACACTGAAGTTTGGACTTCATCCTTAACTTGTAGGTACCTGACATGATTTGACACTATATTCATTTGTCTCTTACAGACAGGAAGTGGTAAGACATTTACCATCACAGGTGGAGCAGAGAGGTACGCAGACAGAGGCATCATACCCAGATCAATATCCTACCTGTACGAACAGTTTGAAAAGGTAACATGTTTTCATATTATATGATTATACTGTTCAAAATTTATAGATATTCGTTGATGATGAAATGTCAGATGATTACAAAGACAGTTGACATTTGACCCATTGTATATTTTTGTGTGCGACAGGATACGGAGAGAACATACGAATTACACATTTCTTACCTGGAAATCTATAATGAGAATGGATTTGATCTTCTGGATCCAAAGCATGAGGCTTCCAAACTGGAAGATTTACCGTGAGTGTTAGATATTAAATATTTCATTTGTATTTTATAAGTTTGACTAGCCTGAATTCACACTGGTGAGTGTAAATGTAAAATCCAGTGTTATGTTCTTCTTTTTCTCCAAACAAAAATGTATTAATACAAAATTATTGAATGTAAAACATACACAGGCAATTTTTATAAAGATCTGTGAAAATAAAAGCGTGTAGTTTGACTCCAAATACTTTTTGTTGTAGGAAGGTGGGTCTGATGGAGGATTCCGATCAGAACATTCACCTCAAGAATCTGTCTGTACACCAGGCTAGTTCTGAGGAGGAGGCCCTCAACCTGCTGTTTTTAGGAGACACAAACAGGATGATAGCTGAGGTAGGGTTCCATGTTGTCATGTTTTTATTTGGACCCTTCAGGAATCATCCATATCAGGCCTGGAATGAATTCTAAAACTTTTAATATACAATACATTCCATATTTTCATTTAGGTTTCATTTGTCAAATTGAATGGATCTGTAATGGTAAATGTAGTGATTTTTGATAAAAGGTATAATAAAACCAGGAAGAGAAAAACAGTTTTATTAATACAAATTTCAATATAATGATTGAAGTGTATTGGCACGTAAGAATTTGATCAAACCTAGTCATTTCTATCACTAGACGCCGATGAATCAAGCTTCAACACGATCCCATTGTATCTTCACCATCCATGTGACGTCTAGAGAAACAGGCTCGGCGACCATACGCAGGGCAAAGCTCCATCTAGTAGATCTAGCTGGGTAAGGCAAACATAACTGTAATAGACAATGGTCTGCACAAAACACTGCTGGGTAAGGCAAACATAACTAACAGACAATGTCTGCACAAAACACTGCTGGGTAAGGCATTTTTTAATTTAATGTAACTTAAACACAAACAGTGTTCTTTATGGAATTTTTTTATTTGACACTAAACACTACTGGTTACACTGAACCTCTACACTAAACACTACTGGTTACACTGAACCTCTACACTAGAAACTACCTCTACACTAAACACTACTGGTTACACTGAACCTCTACACTAGAAACGACCTCTACACTAAACACGAACTCTACACTAAACACTACCTCTACTCTAAACCTCTACACTAAACAATACTGATAACACCGAACCTCTACACTAAACCTCTACACTAAACACTAACTCTACACTAAACACTACCTCTACACTAAACCTCTACACTAAACACTACTGGTTACACTGAATACCTACACTAAACACTACCTCTACACTAAACCTCTACACTAAACACTACTGATAACACCGAACCTCTACACTAAACACTACTAATAACACTGAACCTCTACACTAAACACAACTGGTTACACAGAATACCTACACTAAACACTACTAATAACACTGAACCTCTACACTAAACACTACTGGTTACACTGAATACCTACACTAAACACTACTAATAACACTGACCCTCTACACTAAACACTACTTGTTTTACTGAACCTCTGCACTAAACACTACTGGTTACACTGAACCTCTACACTAAACACTACTGATAACACTGAATCTCTACACTAAACACTACTAATAACACTGAACCTCTACCCTAAACACTACTGACAACACTGAATCTCTACACTAAACACTACTTATTACACTGAATCTCTACACTAAACACTACCTCTACACTAAACACTACCTCTACACTAAACACTACTGATAACACCGAACCTCTACACTAAACACTACTAATAACACTGAACCTCTACACTAAACACTACTGGTTTTACTGAACCTCTGCACTAAACACTACTGGTTACACTGAACCTCTACACTAAACACTACTGATAACACTGAATCTCTACACTAAACACTACTAATAACACTGAACCTCTACACTAAACACTACTAGTTACACTGAATACCTACACTAAACACTACTAATAACACTGAACCTCTACACTTAACACTACTGATAACACTGAATCTCTACACTAAACACTACTAATAACACTGAACCTCTACCCTAAACACTACTGACAACACTGAATCTCTACACTAAACACTACTTATTACACTGAATCTCTACACTAAACACTACTAATAACACTGAACCTCTACACTAAACACTACAAGTTACACTGAATACTTACACTAAACACTACTAATAACACTGAACCTCTACACTTAACACTACTAATAACACTGACCCTCTACCCTAAACACTACTGACAACACTGAATCTCTACGCTAAACACTACCTCTCCACTAAACACTACCTCTCCACTAAACACTACCTCTCCACTAAACACTACCTCTCCACTAAACACTACCTCTCCACTAAACACTACCTCTCCACTAAACACTACTACTGACAACACTGAATCTCTACCCTAAACACTAATGATAACACTAAACACTACCTCTCCACTAAACACTACTATTTACACTGAATACCCACACTAAACACTACTTATAACACTGAGCCTCTACACTAAACACTACTATTTACACTGAATACCCACACTAAACACTACTACTGACAACACTGAATCTCTACACTAAACCCTACCTCTACACTAATCACTACTAATTGAACTGAACCTCTACACGAAACAGTACTTATAACACTGAGCCTCTACACTAAACACTTCCTCTACACTAAACACTTCCTCTACACTAAACACTTCCTCTACACTAAACACTTCCTCTACACTAAACACTAACTCTACACTAAACCCTACCTCTACACTAAGCACTACTAATAACACTGAGTCTCTACACTAAACACTTCCTCTACACTAAACACTTCCTCTACACTAAACACTTCCTCTACACTAAACACTTCCTCTACACTAAACACTACTAATAACACTGAACCTCTACACTAAACACTACTTATTACATTAAATCTCTACACTAAACACTACTAATAACACTGAATCTCTACACTAAACACTACCTCTACACTAATCACTACTTATTGAACTGAACCTCTACACTAAACACTACTGGTTACACTGAATACCTACACTAAACACTACCTCTACACTAAACACTACTGGTTACACTGAACCTCTACACTAAACACTACTAATAACACTGAACCTCTACACTAAACACTACTGATAACACTAACCACTACTGATAACACTAAACACTACCTCTACACTAAACACTACTAGTTACACTGAATACCTACACTAAACACTACTAATAACACTGAACCTCTACACTTAACACTACTGATAACACTCAATCTCTACACTAAACACTACTAATAACACTGAACCTCTACCCTAAACACTACTGATAACACTGAATTTCTACACTAATCACTACGAATAACACTGAACCTCTACACTAAACACTACTGGTAACACTGAACCTCTACACTAAACACTACTGATATCACTGAACCTCTACACTAACCACTACTGATAACACTGAATCTCTACACTAAACACTACTAATAACCCTGAACCTCTACCCTAAACACTACTGATTACACTAAATATCTACACTAAACACTACTGATAACACTAACCACTACTGATAACACTGAATCTCTACACTAAACACTACTAGTTACACTGAACCTCTACATAAACACTACTGATTACACTAAATATCTACACTAAACACTACTGATTACACTGAAAATCTATTAACACACTACCTCTACACTAAACACTACTGGTTACACTGAACCTCTACACTAAACACTACTGATAACACTGAACCTCTACACTAAACACTACTGATAACACTGAATCTCTACACTAAACACTACTGGTTACACTGAACCTGTACACTAAACACTACCTCTACACTAAACACTGCTGATTACACTTAAGGTCTACATATGGCAGTGATTGATGTATAATAAGTGTTGTTTAATGTGTAGAAAATGTCATCTGTAATAATTGTATAATGTATAGAACTAATGGCTGTATCTACTCACAGGTCTGAGAGAGTGTCAAAGAGTGGTGTGGGCGGTACCCTTCTAACGGAAGCTAAATACATCAACTTATCACTACACTTCCTCGAACAGGTGAGATATGAGGTGGCAATCTCAACCTATACTAAATAATACCCCTACTGCTAACTACAGGGTACCTGGAACAGGTGAGGTATGAGGTGGCAGCCTCCACCTACACTAAATAATATCCCTACTGGCAACTACAGGGCATCTGGAACAGGTGAGGGATGAGGTGGCAGCCTCCACCTACACATAATAGTATCCCTACTGCTAACTACAGGGTCCCTGGAACAGGTGAGGTATGAGGTGGCAGCCTCCACCTACACATAATAGTATCCCTACTGCTAACTACAGGATACCTGGAACAGGTGAGGTATGAGGTGGCAGCCTCCACCTACACATAATAGTATCCCTGCTGCTAACTACAGGATACCTGGAACAGGGGAGGTATGAGGTGGCAGCCTCAACCTACTCTAAATAATATCCCTACTACTAACTACAGGGTACCTGGAACAGGTGAGGTATGAGAAATAGTATCCCTACTGCTAACTACAGGATGCCTGGAACAGGTGAGGTATGAGGTGGCAGCCTCCACCTACCCTTAATAGTATCCCTACTGCTAACTACAGGATGCCTGGAACAGGTGAGGTATGAGGTGGCAGCCTCAACCTACACTAAATAGTATCCCTACTGCTAACTACAGGGTACCTGGAACAGGTTAGATATGAGGTGGCAGCCTCAACCTACACTAAATAATATCCCTACTACTAGCTACAGGGTATCTGGAACAGGTGAGGTATGAGGTGGCAGCCTCCACCTACACTAAATAGTATCCCTACTGCTAACTACAGGGTACCTGGAACAGGTGAGGTATGAGGTGGCAGCCTCCACCTACACTAAATAGTATCCCTACTGCTAACTACAGGGTACCTGGAACAGGTGAGGTATGAGGTGGCAGCCTCCACCTACACTAAATAGTATCCCTACTGCTAACTACAGGGTACCTGGAACAGGTGAGGTATGAGGTGGCAGCCTCCACCTACACTAAATAGTATCCCTACTGCTAACTACAGGGTACCTGGAACAGGTGAGGTATGAGGTGGCAGCCTCCACCTACACTAAATAGTATCCCTACTGCTAACTACAGGGTACCTGGAACAGGTGAGGTATGAGGTGGCAGCCTCCACCTACACTAAATAGTATCCCTACTGCTAACTACAGGGTACCTGGAACAGGTGAGGTATGAGGTGGCAGCCTCCACCTACACTAAATAGTATCCCTACTGCTAACTACAGGGTACCTGGAACAGGTGAGGTATGAGGTGGCAGCCTCCACCTACACTAAATAGTATCCCTACTGCTAACTACAGGGTACCTGGAACAGGTGAGGTATGAGGTGGCAGCCTCCACCTACACTAAATAGTATCCCTACTGCTAACTACAGGGTACCTGGAACAGGTGAGGTATGAGGTGGCAGCCTCCACCTACACTAAATAGTATCCCTACTGCTAACTACAGGGTACCTGGAACAGGTGAGGTATGAGGTGGCAGCCTCCACCTACACTAAATAGTATCCCTACTGCTAACTACAGGGTACCTGGAACTGGTGAGGTATGAGGTGGCAGCCTCCACCTACACTAAATAGTATCCCTACTGCTAACTACAGGGTACCTGGAACAGGTGAGGTATGAGGTGGCAGCCTCCACCTACACTAAATAGTATCCCTACTGCTAACTACAGGGTACCTGGAACAGGTGAGGTATGAGGTGGCAGCCTCCACCTACACTAAATAGTATCCCTACTGCTAACTACAGGGTACCTGGAACAGGTGAGGTATGAGGTGGCAGCCTCCACCTACACTAAATAGTATCCCTACTGCTAACTACAGGGTACCTGGAACAGGTGAGGTATGAGGTGGCAGCCTCCACCTACACTAAATAGTATCCCTACTGCTAACTACAGGGTACCTGGAACAGGTGAGGTATGAGGTGGCAGCCTCCACCTACACTAAATAGTATCCCTACTGCTAACTACAGGGTACCTGGAACAGGTGAGGTATGAGGTGGCAGCCTCCACCTACACTAAATAGTATCCCTACTGCTAACTACAGGGTACCTGGAACAGGTGAGGTATGAGGTGGCAGCCTCCACCTACACTAAATAATATCCCTACTGCTAACTACAGGGTATCTGGAACAGGTGAGGTATGAGGTGGCAGCCTCAACCCACACTAAATAATATCCCTACTGCTAAATACAGGGTACCTGGAACAGGTGAGGTATAGGTGACAACATAAAATATATATATACATACATAGAAAATGTCCCCACTGAGAAAAACTTCAGAACTTACTGAAAATTCCAATTGAGTTTCGGAAACAGAACTTAAATACTATTACACTTTTAAGTTGTAAAGCAGATATTTGTGATAGTTGTGAATAAATATTCTCGTTTAAAGAAAGACTAAAGATAACATTTACAACTGACTTTATCCAGGTGATTATAGCACTGGCGGATAAGAATAGGCAGCATATTCCCTACAGAAACTCCATGATGACATCCGTCCTCCGAGACAGCCTCGGAGGAAACTGTATGACCACAATGATAGCCACCTGTTCTATAGAGAAACGCAACCTTGATGTAAGTAAAGATAGTTCTGTAGTAATAAGAAAAGCTGTTGTTGATATAGATGATTTATTTATATATTTTTGGTTATATTTGACCATTCAGTTTGATAAACACATACAGTGACACTTGAAGATTTAGTTTTGGCTATGAAATTTGTAAATCTGCTCACATTTACTTACTAGGACAGGGTATCCACCTGTTTTGTAGTTTAGAATCAGCTTGTTGTTGTTTAGTTTGTAATTACACCCACTTGTCGTCTGTTGCTAGGAATCCATATCCACATGTCGTTTTGCCCAAAGAGTTGCCATGATCAAGAATGATGTTATGGTCAATGAAGAGCTTGATCCAAAGTTAATGATTCAGAAACTTAAAAGGGAGATTCAGCAACTGAAAGAGGAGCTTGCCATGGCAACAGGAGAACAGCGGACTGATGATTTGACAGACGAGGACCTGCAGAGGTACCAACATTGTATTGTAATGGCAACATTACACACATATAGATATGAATCATTGAGCAAATCACTGTTACAGTACTAATTCTACAATCACTTGGAAACATTTGGAATAACTGCTAAATGTCAAGGTCATTGCTGGTACTTTTGGTATCAGTAATTGGTATCACTAAAGTTCAGGGTCAAAGGTTGCAGGTTGTTACCGTGTATCTCTGTTAGGTAGTGTATTTCTGGTGTTTCTGTATAACGGGTAAATTAAAGCAAGTGTGTTTCTGTATGTATGTGTTTGTGTTAGGTGTTTTTTGAAGTAAGCGTTTCTGTGTTTAGGTGTCAGGAGGCCGTTGAACAATATCTTGAGGACACAGACCCTGAAGTCAGCCTCAGTATTGGTGCAGACATGAGGAAAATTGAGACCTGCTTCCGTATTCTCAAGGTAAAGGCAAATATCTCACATTTATTTATAATATTTATAATAGACTGGTCATTTTTAATAGATTACATGAAATAGAATATAAAGGCTATGTGTGGACTAGTTTGAGGCCATCATAGGTTGAAAATGAAATAAAAAAGCCAAATGAAATTAATATTGGAATATTTTTGAAAAAGTAAAATGCCAGTTGGGCATTTTCCTTTTTTCAGATCAAATTTAATTAGCCTTGGAGAAAAGGAGAAGTTTAAGTAGGAAATCTTAGGATATGTGTCCGGAAGATTTGTTGTTTAATTATGTCTGTGTTGGCAGAAACATGTATTAGATAAGCCGTCTGTGACAGAAGTGGTCCGGTCCCCACCTCCCGAGGCCCCGCCCCCTGACACTGGTCCATACAGTGATACAGAGAATAGGAAGCTGAAGGAACTTGTACAACAGAGAGACAATGAAATCAGTATCCTTTTATACTAGCATTCCAAACTTTATAGAATTAAAATGAAAAGTCTCAATTTAACCTCACCTGTTAAAAATCTCAAAGTCAAGTAAACAACACATCCTTGACCAACCAAAGACATCCTTGTGAGTATGTTAAAGAAGGAGAAAAAACGTGCCTCTAATGCTGAATCGGAGCTTACAAATATGGGGAAGTTTGCTGTGAGGACATCGTCTGTGTCAGGCGAGGCACCGAGCTACAACAATGTAGCCATGAGTCGCGAGTCTACAGGGTCTCGCAGCAGCAAGCCCAACAGTGCCCGTCGCAGGGAGGAACACGCCAAATCCAAAATATGTGAGTGTTTTATTAGTGTGAGTCAACCTGAAATCAAACAGATTTTGTGTTGCAATAGTAGTACTCTGAAATAACTCTTATTTGCTGTCTTGCTATTGAATTGAGTTCCCTAGACTTACTGTTGCTTTAGAAAGACGTTTTTCTTTGAACACGTTACAGTGAACTAATTGTGGCAGCATATGTAAGAAGGTTTTTTTATCAAACATGACAAAATGATACTTTTAACTGTGAACTAATCATGGCAGTATAACAAGGTGAAGTAATTATATGAGTTAGTACATTACTAAGCCTAATCCAAATCACATATGGTATATGTTGTGAGACTTCTGTTGAAACTTTAAAAACAACAATATAAAACAAGGTTTTCATGTTGTAAGTGGATGCTGTATCAGTAAGATTTTTGACACACCTAACCCTAACTATTGATAGTCTGCTTTTATATCAATATTACACAAATGTTTCTCAAAATGTAAACTGTATCTTTATACATGATTTTGCTGTGTATTCCTCAGTGGGAGATATGTCCAAAGGAAGACAGGAAGCGTTTGAGACTTTCCGCCGGGATTACCCGCAACAGGAGACGATAGAACAGAACAAGGTCCAACTCAAACAGCGTTACGCAGAGGCTAAAAGCCTGGGGGAAAACGTCAACAAAACTCGCAAAAAAATAAGTAAGAGGACTCTGCCTTGATAAGAGGGGTTTATATTATGAGGATTATATTTTCATCTTTTATCTTAATATGTACATTATTATTTATCCATCAAGCCATGATAAGTTTTCAATCTTTTCATCCATGAATATTTTGATACGTCTACTTAAATGTATTGGGAAACAGAGACATATTTTTCCTTTGCTCAGTTTGGTAAAACTGACTTTCACTTAGTGTTAAGTTCTCCCTTCACAGCTATGTAACCAATAGTTACAGTGAAAAATGATGTGGTAGTAAGCTAGCTATGTGTAATATCTATGGTAATGATATTAAATAATACTAGTTAAATGGTGATAAGGCAGACACGGTTTTATTTGATCAGGCCACAGCAGCATGAAATATAAAGCTATGATAATGGGATGGATATTGTCAGTATGTGAAGTTCAACAACAATTCACACAAAAAACTTGTAAATGAAACAAACTTTGAATGAAAACAATATCAGTGGAGGGTTAGCTGGGAAAATGTTGAACTGCAGTAAGTCTTTCCAAGTATGAAGTATATGATTTGTATGCAGTATAGTTAACAAACTCCATAGCCATCTAAGAATTCTTTCATTGATAAAAAAATTCTCATGAAATTTATTATATTTTCTTGTAGATCATTTAAAAGGACAGATAGAACAACACAGAATGCAGTTAGCTATGCAAGGTAAAAACCTCTTGTAGCACTAACTATGGTGAAATAATTTGATAATGAGAATGTACACTCTGAGCTGCCTCACAAGGTAAAACCTCCTGTAGCACTAACTATGGTGAAATAATTTGATAATGAGAATGCACACTCTGTGCTGCCTCACAAGGTAAACACCTCCTGTAGCACTGACTATGGTGAAATAATTTGATAATGAGAATGTTCACTCTGGGCTTCCTCACAATGTAAAAACCTCCTGTATCACTAACTATGGTGAACTAATGTGATAATGAGAAAGTACACTCTGGGCTGCCTCACAAGGTAAAAACCTCTTGTAGCACTGACTATGGTGAAATAATTTGATAATGAGAATGCACACTCTGTGCTGCCTCACAAGGTAAAACCCTCCTGTAGCATTAACTATGGTGAAATAATGGGATAATGAGAATGTACACTCTGGGTTGCCTCACAAGTTTTGTATTTTTACGTAGTGTCATTTGTCAAATGTACCATTCATCGTCTTCAGGTTTGGTAGACCCTAACAACCCAGAACCAGATGATGAGGAGCAGGAGCTGAGGGCAGACATGGAGGAGGAAAAGGACAGGTAAGTAAAGGGCTATAGTGAGGGTATTGGTAGGGTTGTGGTGAGGGTTATGTTGGGCCGGCGACGGAAGTGGTTGGCTTGGGAGGGTATTGGTGGGCTTTGGTTAAGGTATCGGTTGGCTGATGAGGGTATTTGTGAGCTGGGAAATGTAGTGGTGGGCTGATGAGGGAAGTGGTTGACTGGGGAGGACATTGGTGAGCTGGGGAGGGTAGGGGTGGGCTTGGGAGGGTATTGGTGAGCTGGGGAGGGTAGTGGTGGGCTTGGGAGGGGATTGGTGAGCTGTGGTGAGGGTATTGGTGGGCTGGGGAGGGTATTGGTGAGCTGGGGAGGGTAGTGGTGGGCTGTGGTGAGGGTAGTGGTGGGCTGTGGTGAGGGTATTGGTGGGCTGGTGAGGGTATTGGTGAGCTGGGGAGGGTAGTGGTGGGCTGTGGTGAGGGTATTGGTGAGCTGGGGAGGATAGTGGTGGGCTTGGGAGGGTATTGGTGAGCTGTGGTGAGGGTATTGGTGGGCTGGGGAGGGTAGTGGTGAGCTGGGAAGGATAGTGGTGGGCTTGGGAGGGGATTGGTGAGCTGTGGTGAGGGTATTGGTGGGCTGGGGAGGGGATTGGTGAGCTGGGGAGGGTAGTGGTGGGCTGTGGTGAGGGTATTGGTGGGCTGGGGAGGGTATTGGTGAGCTGGGGAGGGTAGTGGTGGGCTGGAGAAGGTAGTGGTGGGCAGATGAGGGTAGTGGTGAGCTGGGGAGGGTAATGGTTAGCTTGTGAGGGTAGTGGTGAGCTGGTTAGGATGTTTATGAGGTGATGAGGGTAGTGGTGAACTGGTAAGGTTTCTGGAAAGCTGGTAATTATATCAGTAAACGTACTAATGAGTCTATGAGGGAAGTAGTGATGTGGTTAGGGTACTGGTAAGGTGGTTAGGGTACTAGTAAGGTGGTTAGGGTACTAGTAAGGTGGTTAGGGTACTGGTAAGGTGGTTAGGGTAAGCTGGTTAGGTGGTTAGGACTCTGCTGAGGACAGATAAGTAAAGATAAAGATGCTGATTTGGAGGATAGGGTAAGGCACATTTGGGGCTCTGTTAAGGCAACCGTGTATTGTTGAAGACAGATATGGAGGAGAGGGCCAGGTAAGATTTGAATTTACAAAGAGTCTGTTAGAAATAATTAGCAGTATTTGTTTATTTTGTTGGTATATATGGGGCAAAACATGACAAATATCCATTTAGAGGGTGTCTAGTTTGCTGTGGATGTGTGAAATTGAGCTGCAAAATATCCAGACTTCTATATAAAAACATCCTGCTAACAAGAAGGCAGACTCCCCTCCATCAGACACTAGGGCTTAGATTCATTGTGTTTTGTTCCTGTTTAAGCTATAAGCAGTCGTTTACCCGCCTGAAGACCCTAAAAACTGAAATAGAACACCTGCAACACTTACTTGAGAAGTCCAAGGTGAAGCTGATGAAGGACTTTGAGATGTGGTGGGCAGAGCAAGCAGTAATATCACAGGTAAAAAAGTTACTTGTGTGCTGACATAGCACAGTTAAATAAGTAACAGATATGCCTACATATCACAGGTAAATAAGTTAGATGTCTGCTGTATATTCACAGGTAGATAGGTTACAGGTGTGCAGGCATATTGCAGGTAAATCACTAACAGATGTGCTGTCATATCACAGGTAAATAACTTACAGGTGTGTTGTCATATCACAGGTAAATAAGTAACAGATGCACAGGTAAATAAGTTACAGGTGTACTTTGATATCACAGGTAAATAACTTACAGGTGTGTTGTCATATCACAGGTAAATAAGTAACAGATGCACAGGTGAATTAGTTACAGGTGTGCTGTCATATTGCAGGTAAAGGAGTTTCAGGTGTTCTGTCATATTACAGGTAAAAGAATTACAGATATGTTGTCAAAGCACAGATAAATAACTTACAGGTGTGCTGTCATATTGCAGGTAAATAAGTGTCCTGTGTTCTGTCATATCAAAGGTTAATAAGTTACAGGTGAGCTGTCATACAGCAAGTAAATAAGTTACATGTGTACTGTCATATCACAGGTAAAGGAGTTTCAGATGTTCTGTCATACATCAGGTAAATAACTTGCAGGTGTGCTATCATATTGCAGGTAAATAAGTGTTAGGTGTTCTGTCATATTACAGGTAAAAAGTTACAGGTGTGCTGTCATATTGCAAGTAAAGGAGTTTCAGGTGTGCTGTAATATCACAGGTAAATAAGTTACAGGTGTATTGTCATATCAAAGGTTAATAAGTTACAGGTGTACTGTCATATCACAGGTAAAGGAGTTTCAGATGTTCTGTCATACATCAGGTAAATAACTTACAGGTGTGTTGTCATATTGCAGGTAAATAAGTGTTCGATGTTCTGTCACATCACAGGTAAAAAGTTACAGGTGTGCTGTCATATTGAAAGTAAATTAGTTTCAGGTGTGCTGTAATATCACAGGTAAATAAGTTACAGGTGTACTGTCATATCACAGGTAAATAAGTTACAGGTGTACTGTCATATCAAAGGTAAATAAGTTACAGGTGTGCTGTCATATTGCAAGTAAAGGAGTTTCAGGTGTGCTGTAATATCACAGGTAAATAAGTTACAGGTGTGCTGTCATATCAAAGGTAAATAAGTTACAGGTGAGCTGTCATATAACAAGTAGATATGCTGTAGGTTTATACTCTTGGTCTCAGGTGTGTGTACTAAATATTTGTATGAATGTTGTATCACAGAAATACATCACTGAATGCCTACCTACAAAGCCGGCTACACACCACTGTTTCACATTTGTCCTAAAAATATTGATTATATTTTTCAAGGTATATTACAGGTATCTAACTTTATATTGTCAATATATGTTGTCATTCATCAATAAGGTGCTGCGTTTAAAGTATCGTCATAAAAGTGATTACTAGCTGCATACATGTATTTACTCTCCCGTGGTTTAACAGAGCAATTCATCTGGTGGTGGCAGTATGAAGTCAGCATGGAGGACCCCAACCCCTAAACGGGCGGGGAAGGCTCCACCACTGGATCTTGTGTCACCAGGTAATTCTACCCTATCACAGTCTTCCTCAGCCTCTAGTTTGTACCAGTCAGCTTCCCACTCGATACCCCAACAGTCATATCAGCCCGCCTCCCACTCCCAACCTCAACAGATCGGTCACCATAGACAGAAAGTGGCCACCCAGCTCTCCAGCTTCTACTCACAGCCTCCACCTCAGCCACAGCCTCCAGTGGAAAAGAATGGCTATAGGCTACCCAGGTAACTATGACAACCCCATATCACCACCTCAAAGTGGTCCTAATGTCCACATCCTCTCTCATCTTCATTTTACATTGCAGTCATTATAGACAGCAAGACTCCAATACATTGTTTTGTTATGGAGAGTTTTATTATGTTTAAATGAAAATTTGAGGATGCACAAAATATCTATTTATGTATATCAAAACCCATCAGTTTCTTTAGTAGACATCTACTTCATCTCTGATACGAATCCACTGTTTATCACAAGATCCTATAAACTTACTGGTTTTAATTAATAACATTATTTAGGTCAGCTGGGAATGACCAGAAGGCGGGAATTCCACTAACAGGGGATTCCAGGGCTGATGCTGATATCATGGCCTTCGTTAAAGCTCGCCAGAACATACTTCAACAAGGTAGACATCTGTCTTCATTACATATTGTTTTTACTATTAATTTATCCAAAAAATGAATATCTTCACAATGAATTCAAATAATAGATTGTGAAACTTTATGAATTGTTTTGTTTATGTACAGCAATTGATTAAGCTTGATAGGACATTCAAAGTATTTAAAAATAACATTGGTAGGCTTTGAATGTAAGTAACGTGGGGAAGCCCTGAAGTTCTCAGATTGTCAAGGTGGTAAACATTTCTGTTTCATCAGTATCTCCTACAGTAAAATATACTTTACTTTTAATACTCACTTCTGATTGATTCTCTGTTTGCTATTTCAGCCAATGGAAACAGATGACAGTAGCATCAACAGTGTGTTGTTTATTCATTGTAACTCATTCCAGCCATAGACTGATCTGTCGGTGATGATTGTCCCGAATCCATTCAGCGATTCAACAGTCTGTACAACAGCAGTTGATCCAGAAGACACGGTGTGAAGTTAAATGGGGGCTACATCCATAAAACAACAAGCCCTTAAATTAGTTGTGTGTGTGATCAAGGTTCTTCAAAGCTGAGATTGCTACTAAAAATATGTGGGCAAGAACTCTAAATTTTAAGTGACAAACTATGCCTGTTCCAAAGTGTAAACTCCATTGGAACAGACCCGATGTTTAACTACATCGTGCTAGTTGTGCTATCTGAAATCAGTACGAGAATTCTATAACATCTCTGAAAACTGTCAGTGTTTATCTCACCTTTACTGGTATTGTTAGATGATAATATTATACTGCCAATTTGAATTTCCTACTTGGCTGTTTTCTCATTTTGAGAAAATATGGTACCAGCATTCCCTCCATATGAACAGAAATGGAACTCAAGTCATTCCCTGTTACATTAACTGTACTGAACATCAATCTATAATCATTTTGTATGGAAATGATTGATAGATTGTCCATATTTACAAACATGCCATTTATACTTAATATATTCTGTCCAATAGAACAGAAATAATACAGAAACATTCCAGATCACCTTGTCCTAATATTACACATTGTTTGACTGAAGCATAAATAGGTCATCCATATTTACAGGAAACTTCAGGCTACAAACAATGTGTCCCATTTAACTGGACATTGCTATACCATGTTACTGTGGACTTTTGTCTTTGATGCCTAGTTCTCTTACGGTACAAAGTGTTTAGTGCTTACTAGTCAGGTTTGTACCTTTATATCTACAGTAATATAGCCCGTCAGTTATTTATTTATCTAGCTTCATCGTTAAAGGACTGCTATGTCAGTAGATTTTATCTGTTGGAGGTAGAGTTTAATCTATTATCTCTATCTTGGTGTATTGATTAGATGTGAAGTGTACTCAGTACTGCACAGGTGTACAAACATCTCCGCTCCATGGCTGAGGTGTATTTTTTTGTATCGCTACATGTATATATTTATAAAACTGTCAATACTGCTGATACATGATTATAATAATTTTATTTTCTGAATTTTTCTCCAAATCAGAATGTTTTTTATAAACGTTAGAGGTTGTTTCTTTACAATTATTTGCATTGATTACATTGCAGCATTTGTTACGGCCTACTTCTGATACAATGCGACCTAGCCTTGTAACAAGCTCATGTGGTAATAGGACTTTACTTCTGATACAATGGGGACTAGGCTTGTAACAAGCTCCTGTGGTTATAGGACTTTACTTCTGATACAATGCGACCTAGCCTTGTAACAAGCTCATGTGGTAATAGGACTTTACTTCTGATACAATGGGGACTAGCCTCGTAACAAGCTCATGTGGTAATATGACTTTACTTCTGATACAATGGGACCTAGCATTGTAACAAGCGCATGTGGTAATATGACGTTACTTCTGATACAATGGGACCTAGCCTTGTAATAAGCTCATGTGGTTATAGGACTTTACTTATGATACAATGGGGCCTAGCCTTGTCACAAGCTCATGTGGTTATAGGACTTTACTTATGATACAATGGGGCCTAGCCTTGTCACAAGCTCATGTGGTTATAGGACTTTACTTATGATACAATGGGGCCTAGCCTTGTCACAAGCTCATGTGGTTATAGGACTTTAATTCTGATACAATGGGGCCTAGCCTTGTCACAAGCTCATGTGGTTATAGGACTTTACTTCTAATACAATGGGGCCTAGCCTTGTAACAAGCTCATGTGGTAATAGGACTTTACTTCCGATACAATGGGACCTAGCCTTGTAACAAGCTCTTGTGGTTATAGGACTTTACTTCTGATAGAATGGGACCTAGCCTTGTAACAAGCTCTTGTGGTTATAGGACTTTCCTTCTGATACAATGGGACCTAGCATTGTAACAAGCGCATGTGGTAATATGACGTTACTTCTGATACAATGGGACCTAGCCTCGTAACAAGCTCATGTGGTTATAGGACTTTTCTTCTGATACAATGGGACCTAGCCTTGAAACAAGCTCATGTGGTTATAGGACTTTTCTTCTGATACAATGGGACCTAGCCTTGAAACAAGCTCATGTGGTTATAGGACTTTTCTTCTGATACAATGGGACCTAGCCTTGTAATAAGCTCATGTGGTTATAGGACTTTACTTATGATACAATGGGGCCTAGCCTTGTCACAAGCTCATGTGGTTATAGGACTTTAATTCTGATACAATGGGGCCTAGCCTTGTAACTAGCTCATGTGGTTATAGGACTTTACTTATGATACAATGGGGCCTAGCCTTGTCACAAGCTCATGTGGTTATAGGACTTTAATTCTGATACAATGGGGCCTAGCCTTGTCACAAGCTCATGTGGTTATAGGACTTTACTTCCGATACAATGGGACCTAGCCTTGTAACAAGCTCATGTGGTTGTAGGACTTTACTTCTGATACAATGGGGCCTAGCCTTGTAACAAGCTCATGGGGTTATAGGACTTTACTTCTGATACAATGCGGCCTAGCCTTGTAACAAGCTCATGTGGTTGTAGGACTTTACTTCTGATACAATGGGACCTAGCCTCGTAACAAGCTCATGTGGTTATATTACAGTCCTTTTTGAATACTGTACACACTAGATGTTTCTTAAATGGTCTTAATCATAATTATCAATACATTATTCGTCTTGTACATCATACCATTTATTTATGCATTGTATACATATGAATGTCCCTTGAAAGGCAGAAACTGTTACAAACTTGATTCAAGTTGAACTTTGTAAAATGAGGTTGATAGAGGATCTAAAACATCATTCTATCACATAAGAACTCGGAATGGGAACAAGAATGAGATTCTTTTAAAGTATGCTCAACCACACTATGTACAATTGTGTATTTCATAAACATTGAAGAATTTGACCGAGAAAAATGCAAGGATACACTCCTTGTTTTACTTTTGCTGTAAATTTGTGACATCACTTTTTTTTTATGGGCGACATAATGTTTTTATGTCATAAACTCATATGATTGCGTTATAATGCTGCATCTAAACCCGAGTAATTTATTAAAGAAGCTATTTAATTAAGTACTGATGAAATGTCTTAGAATAACATACTTTGTTCACTTAAGCAAGTATAATAAACTTAACCATAACACTGATGGGAATTTTCACATCTACATGTATGTATACAATTACTATATACCGTAGTGTTCAAATACACAAATCTGAAGTAAAATGGATCCATGTACTGGTATACTATACGCACCCGACATCAAAGTAAAATAAAGCTAGTTATTAGTTATATGAAAGGTGAAGAGAACAGAGTGAAGTCTGGGAACGGAGAGCGAGTGATTTTATGTTGTATGCAGATATTATTTTAATATATTTAAGGGGCATATTGCTTTAATACATATTTTGATAGAGAGAAATAAAATGCAAAGCATCAGGTTAACAGGTTGTTTATTTCATCTTTTCCAATAACTATCAAGTAAACAGACGTTTGTATGTCACTGTTTTCTTATGAATTATAGTATTATACACGCGCTAAGTTATATTCTGTCTTGGCGACTCCGGCGGTTGTTCTACATCATTCACCAAGTTTGATTCATGGTGAGAGTGTCTGAAAATGTTTTAGGAAAGCCTCAAAGGTGGGCTTCCTCACTGAAAACACTGATCCACTCGGGAAACAAACAAATCAAAGAACTGTTCTACTTTTGATTAATTTCATTGTTTTATTATGTATTACATTCAGCTAAAAACTACAAAATAACTGTAAAGGAAATTCAAAACAATCCATGTCAATAATAGTGAAAACTGTCTTACACAAAACCTCACTTTATTTACAGTGTGTAATATGCTCCGATTCTGTCACAGAGCTCAATCAAAACTATCAAGTAAAAACATACATTGACTTTATCTGATTTGAAAACAAATTACTATAAAATGTTTGCTTAAAAATATGAAATGAGATGCATTGAACATAAATGTGGATTGGTGATACAAGGTTATGGTTTAATGGAAGAAAGACAGGTGCATATACTATACACAGGATAGAAATATCACGGCAGAGACCTACATATTAGTCAAATATATAGGTCATGGGGACAAATGGCAATACATTTATCAGGTTTTAATCAGGCCTTAAAACCTCAGTCAAAGACTTCCCCTCTTCAATAAGAGTCCTTCGACTAAAACTTTGGATGTCAACAACAGATCAGCTGTACCTCGTCTACAGTAAAACATTGTACCTCGTCTACAGCTTTGTCGACAATAAAACATCGTACCTCGTCTACAGTAAAACATTGTACCTCGTCTACTGTAAAACAGTGTACCTCGTCTACAGTAAAACATTGTACCTCATCTACAGCTTTATCTACAGAAAAAACATTGTACCACGTCTACAGTTTTATGGACAGTAAAACATTGTACCTCCTCTACAGCTTTACCGACAGTAAAACATTGTACCTCGTCTACAGCTTTACCGACAGTAAAACATTGAACCTCGTCTACAGCTTTATCGACAGTAAAACATTGTCCCTCGTCTACAGCTTTATCGACAGTAAAACATTGCACCTCGTCTACAGCTTTATCGACAGTAAAACATTGCACCTCGTCTACAGCTTTATCCACAGTAAAACATTGCACCTCGTCTACAGCTTTATCGACAGTAAAACATTGCACCTCGTCTACAGCTTTATCGACAGTAAAACATTGTATCTCGTCTACAGCTTTATCGACAGTAAAACATTGCACCTCGTCTACAGCTTTATCGACAGTAAAACATTGCACCTCGTCTACAGCTTTATCCACAGTAAAACATTGCACCTCGTCTACAGCTTTATCGACAGTAAAACATTGCACCTCGTCTACAGCTTTATCCACAGTAAAACATTGCACCTCGTCTACAGCTTTATCCACAGTAAAACATTGCACCTCGTCTACAGCTTTATCGACAGTAAAACATTGCACCTCGTCTACAGCTTTATCGACAGTAAAACATTGTATCTCGTCTACAGCTTTATCGACAGTAAAACATTGTCCCTCGTCTACAGCTTTATCGACAGTAAAACATTGTATCTCGTCTACAGTTTTATCGACAGTAAAACATTGTACCTCGTCTACAGCTTTGTCGACAGTAAAACATTGTACCTCGTCTACAGCTTTATCGACAGTAAAACATTGCACCTCGTCTACAGCTTTATCGACAGTAAAACATTGTACCTCGTCTACAGCTTTGTCGACTATAAAACATTGTACCTCATCTACAGCTTTGTCGACAATAAAACATTGTACCTCGTTGACAGTAAAACATTGTACCTCGTCTACAGTAAAACAGTGTACCTCGTCTACAGTAAAACATTGTACCTCATCTACAGCTTTATCGACAGAAAAAACATTGTACCACGTCTACAGTTTTATGGACAGTAAAACATTGTACCTCGTCTACAGCTTTACCGACAGTAAAACATTGTACCTCGTCTACAGCTTTATCGACAGTAAAACATTGTATCTCGTCTACAGTTTTATCGACAGTAAAACATTGTACCTCGTCTACAGCTTTATCGACAGTAAAATATTGCTCCTCGTCTACAGCTTTATCGACAGTAAAACATTGTACCTCGTCTACAGCTTTATCCACAGTAAAACATTGCTCCTCGTCTACAGCTTTATCGACAGTAAAACATTGTACCTCGTTTACAGCTTTATCGACAGTAAAACATTGTATCTCGTCTACAGTTTTATCGACAGTAAAACATTGTACCTCGTCTACAGCTTTACCGACAGTAAAACATTGTACCTCGTCTACAGCTTTACCGACAGTAAAACATTGTACCTCGTCTACAGCTTTGTCGACTATAAAACATTGTACCTCATCTACAGCTTTGTCGACAATAAAACATTGTACCTCGTCTACAGTAAAACAGTGTACCTCGTCGACAGCTTTGTCGACAATAAAACATTGTACCTCATCTACAGCTTTGTCGACAATAAAACATTGTACCTCATCTACAGTAAAACAGTGTACCTCGTCTACAGCTTTGTCGACAATAAAACATTGTACCTCATCTACAGTAAAACAGTGTACCTCGTCTACAGCTTTGTCGACAATAAAACATTGTACCTCGTCTACAGTAAAACATTGTACCTAACAAACATACAATTCATATATAGAAGGCAACCATTTCATGACAGATTTCAATGTTTATACATTAAAACTGTTAGAGCCTTTGAGTTGGCTTTTAAGTTAAACTTGAGTTTTAAAGTGCATGGCGCTGAGGATTCACACCTTTCACTCGATAAATAACAACGAATCAGCTTCAAGGCAGCGAAAGTTTTAAAAACAGCTACGACATATCAGCAGAACTTGTATGTACAAATCACAGCCACAACGCTTCAGGACACTACATATACAGGCTATTTACACATGTTCTCAATGATCTATATACTATTGCACATTACGTATCAACACTATCCAAACTGACATCAGATCCTGCAATCAAATACTGCACACAAAAAAGTACAGTGTATCTTAATAATCAAACAAATTAAAAATTTCTTTTAAATTCACACTTTAAAAAGTCGTATTCAGGTGCCTTACATTTCGTTCTGAAAAAAGTCTCATTATTTCTTAACACCTGGTAAAAATAATATAATTTGCATGCATAAATGATTTGGTGAGGACTGACAGGTATTCATCGTAACAATAAGATTATTGGACGTAATAAAAGCACTGGTATCAGATCTTAACTACACATTACAACATTGTTTCTAAGTTAAGAAATGAGACATTGTAACACTGGGGTTGGACCTCCAGCCAACAATACCTTGATGGCTGAAAGCTTGCTCCAAAAACTCTCAACAAACAGGAACATTTGGCTACTAAATGTTCTATAACTCCAAATGAAATATATAATTCACGGTGGAAGCAAACAATAAAAAGAGTTAATCTTAAACAACATGTCAACAACAACAACAACAACAACAATAAACATTAACATTAACAATAAATCTGTGTGATTACACAAAAGGAATGGTTTGAACTGTGTAAAACAAACTTTTATTACAGACTTGTGTTTATAATTTCTATGCAAACTACATAAAAATAGTTCCACTGTTCATGAACTCAAAATATTTTTTTAAATTGTAGAATCATCTCTCTTTAAAATGAACGTTCTCAAAAACAAAATCACTCAACAGTGTTATTACTGGATATATGATACTCAAAAATTATCCCTCAATTTACTGAGAAATACTTATGAACAGCACATTATCATAAGTGGTGACATACAGATCACTGGTAAAAATAATGTACAGGTCACTTACACTTCATTAAAATACTGGAAAATTATACTAGAAAAACACACTTGTTAATACACTCCATTTGATGATATAGGTAGTATTTGGTCGGCTGCCGCCATTCCAATATATATCCAAACAGACTAGATCCAATAAATAAAGTAAAATCATTTCAAAAAGACACAATTTAAAACTTTGTTCCTGGTTTAACGCATGGCCTCCTCATTTCGCCATGGTATAGTCTTGACTATCTCCCCCATGCCCTTGGTGGTGCCCTGGCGGAAAAGAAGACGGGACCCTACTCTCATGTACTCGAGCTGTTTCAACAACCTAAACTTAACACGGGCCTTCTCATTGGTTTTGATGGATTCCTGGAAACAAAACATGTCATGGTTACCATTAAAAGCCAACAATAGATGTTATCTTTACAACTGAAAAACTTCAATCACATGTTAAAGTTATCCAAAAATGAACATTTCCTGTTTCATTACTGAACGTGGGGAACAAGACACTAACATTTTATAAAGTAAGACAAGTACAAGGCTTCAAAGGATATGATATTGATAACCATAATTTCCCCCAAAACAACACAAGGCCCCGAGTTGTAATACATTTATTATTAATGTTGCAGTGATGTGACAAAAACAGATAGTACATATAATCCAAATATGGGTTTTGATGGTGGTTTCCTTGACAAAATGATGTTGGTAATAAAGTCAAGTTTACCCCCTCCCCAAGGAGAAATGGGCGACCAAGGGATAGTGAAATTGACCTCCTTCCTAGGGAGAAATAGGTGACCCAGTAGAAGTGAAATTTACCCCCTCCCCAGGGAAAAATGAGTGACCCAGAGGTAGTAAAATTTGACCCCTCTTCAGGGAGAAATGGGTGACCCAGAGGTAGTGACATTCACACTTTAGATAGCACCTTGGCACTTCCGATCCATTTTGAACCCATTCCTTAGACCCATGGAGCTTAAGCTTTATAATGACCTTAAGGTGATCAGAATTTCCTCATGATCTATCAGGCGTGCTATAGAAACAGAGGTACCTACCTTTCCTTCAATCTCTATGATCTTACAGGTCTGGCATACACTTCCGACGTGTATGGTGGCCTCAAACCCGGTCGTGATTTGTTTGGAGTGGTACAGGAGGTATATGTCTGCGTCAAATTCCTCACATGCACTGATGATCATCTCTGGACTCACCAGCACCATACCCTACAAACAATGGTCAATCATTAACAAAGGTTATAATTTTGGGACCCTTTAACCTATTCTGCTTCACACCTAGCAGGTACCATTATTTCAAAATCAATTACCAGGTAATTCTTTCATAATCATAAATGTCACATATTTAAGGTGAAACAGCTACTTTGGAAATGTTTGCTTTGCATATATATTTAAATCAATGACAAATTACAGGAAGTCATATGAAAATTGAACTTAGTCATCACCATTTATTTTAACCATTTCTACTACATGTACAAGAAATGCCGGTGTTCCCTGGCTGGGTGGATGTGTACCTTGCGTAATTGCTCCCTCTCCACATTAGCTAGGGCTACTGTGGCTGTCTGCCCAGCTTGAATGAAGCGACATGGCATGCGGTTTCTGTGTACTGTTTTGACGACAGCCTTGCGGAACTCTCCCCCCTCTACAGGCCCCAGCTGTAGACAGTCTCCCTCTTTGATAGACCCCCTACAAAAACAGGTATTTGATCACAGTTAAGCAGATACCATACTATTTATATTATCCTAAATTCTATGAAAGCATCCTAAAGCTTGAATTTAAAGTTTGACTTATAATCTATAATATGATACTTTGACTTCTATTCATGGACAGAAGAAAGCTGACAAACTTTAAATACAACAGACACCTAGCTTAACTTGCTAAAACATTAGAGCTGATCTGTCTTGGTGACAGATTGTCTTACTAGTAAATGTTTTTGATTCTCTTACCTGTGAATGGTGCCTCCCACAACACTCCCCACTCCTGGCACCGAAAACAGAGTGTCAATCTGAAAAATACCGATTTACATCCTTCAATCATAAAGGTGGTAAAAACATAATTCCACGCTACAACCAAGTGGCTTCCTTTTTCAATTCACTCTTTCCTGCTGCATTACAAACCATTTTTTTTAAAAGGCATTTAACATTTTTTAACAGAATTTCTTTGAAAGATTATTTCATATTTTGAGAACACTTCCTATGACAAACAATTTTAATTAGACCTGATGCTGGATTCCTTTCCGGACGCTATAAATACATGAACCATAATGTAAAGAACATTACCTGGAATTCTGTAAGGTCTTGAGTTAGTTTTTCTCGTTCCTTGACATTTTTCACAGAGGGAAGAACATTCAAGAATGTTGTTAGCAGATCTAAGCTCTTCCCCGTTACACTTGATATGGTGAAAATTGGAGTTATTCTGAAAAACAGTAAAATGCAAAAAACACTTTATTATGCACTCCTTTAGAATGTATATAATGTATATTTGATTTTAACAAACCTACTGTTATTCATGTTATGGCAGAAGTGCCAGGTTTATATAGACAAACATTAAACACACCCACTCCCATAGTACAACAATGATTGGGGCATTACTTAGTATCATTATATAGACAAACCTTAAACACATTACATCCACTCCTATAGTACAACAATGATTGGGGCATTACTTAGTATCAAATCTGTTAGGTAATGTAGCAGTTGTGATATTCATCATGTACACATAAAGTAAGTGCGTCGCGTTACCTGTCTGTGTCAAAGTTGGTGGCTGCAGTGATGGAGTCGTCCTCAGTCTTGATCCGCATTGGAACTCTCTTACATCCTGGGGACTTTAAGATCTTCTCGAGCTGAGATACGGTCCTCTCCATCAGATACTTACGACACATGTCTATCTTACTGACCACGACAAAGATAGGCACGTTTAGAGCCAGGGCTAACCCCAGGTGTTCCTTAGTGGTCCCCGCTATAGCCAAAACACACATTGTAGAATAATAACGCATAGAATAATGGAGGAAAGTCATATTTATACAACACATTTATAACAAAATCAACCAGTCTAACGAATTGGCTTAATTTTAATGTAGAAAACAAGACTTTAGTCTACTAATTCAATTAAGTTTGAAGAAACCAGTGTTGCTTCAACTTCCAAATAAATAGTACATAGTAATTAAAGTTAGGTAAAGTACAAATAAGACATAATGGTTGTACAGACTGCTACAATAATCCAACAGCATTCCCTCTTTTTTTGATGACAACAAGCACACCCCAAACAATATATGGACACATACATCAATTTTCAATGTCAGCAAAGACATTTCACAATTCCGTTTGACCTGCCTGGATATTGAGTGATTGGTCAATGGTCACAGACACAATGACACTTACCCATTCCTGTGTTAGCACTGACCACCAGCATGGCAAAGTCTGGGGCATGACCAGTCAGTCCAAATATAGTTGTCTTCAGATACTTGTGATGTCCAGCAAGGTCAATAAGAGTGATCAGCTTGGAAGAATTCTCACAAATTTCCTCTACAGTTCGAGATCCACTGTAGTTTACAATCTGTAAGATGAAACAGCTACAATGAACTGGTGTAATACCTCTATTACATACATATAAATACAGGTATACAGTTAAAATCTAAATGTTTACAACCAGGTAAAACTGCTGAAAAATCACTGGTTACCCTATACACAACACTTAATAGGCCAGAACGTTAAGCATAAATTTTGCTCTTAGAGTAGACTTACCTCCCCTTTGCTATTAAACCCGAGGATTTCATGGCTGATACTGGAGGTTCGCCCTGACTGAATTTCGTGTAGGTGCTGGAAAAGATTTAGTCTGGCACGACCCCTTCCATTGTCTAGCTCGCCCTGAGTAAGCACACCCAGCAGTGTACTCTTCCCAGCGTCTACATTCCCCAGTACTGCCAGTCGCAGATCAATGAACTGCAAGGCAAAGTAATTTAGTAATATAAAAATAAAAAACAAGCAAACTGTTAGAATAAACACAATTCACAGGTAAAACTCATCTTAAACCTCATATTGGTTTTAGCTTTTCAGAAAATCAACAACGTACTGTAAAATATTGTAATATACAAGGATTCAGAAAGTCAATAATAGTGGATAACACTCTGCAACTATACCAATCACAATGATACAACACTTCCGATTTCTGAACTTTTCACATTGTAGGAATACATATAATATAGCTGCAGCTTCTAAATTATTATACAGGTTGAGAAATATATGATTTGTGCTACCTGTTGGTCGTCTGGAACTTTTCTAACAAGGATTTCTAATGCCCGTTTGCGACATCCTGCACCTTCATCACTGTCTACCTGTCTCTCCCTCAGCACCGAGGTGGTGGCTCCTAACCTGTACATAGAGAGCAGGTAAATATCACAACACTGGTATGTTACATTACCAAGGTGATGGTCCTGAAAATGTACACAGAACAGGTAAATATTACAACACTGGTATGTTACATTACCAAGGTGATGGTCCTGAAAATGTACACGGAACAGGTAAATATCAAAATAGTGTTCGATTACACAACATCTAATTATATAAACTGTGGCCCTTAAAACTCAAGCATGTATAAAATGTTACATATACATTAAATGGTTATAACAAAAGGAAATGTTTGGACATATGTTAAGTCCAATCCACTTTCACAACAATGACAACTACTTTTCACTCAAATAGCATTTCTCCATGACTAGTTTTATTTGTGGGATTGTATTCTATAAGTTTCACAACTTCAAGTTATTTTTATATCATGTATATGAAAAGTATCAAATGAGGTCATTTAGAATCCTATATCTGCCACATGATGGCACTTTTGGCAGCGTTATTTTACCTTTCTGCCATTTTGTTGAGTGTCCTTACTGAAGCCTCAAGCTCCACATCTGTAAGTCCAACCAACATCCCATTGTCCTCCACACCTATTTCGTAGATAGCTTCCCCGTGTCCCTCCTCTAGTCTCCATTTCATCTGGGTTACCAGGTGTTCTAACCGAAAGTCTGATGGGTTGACTAGTTTTAGCTGTGAAATTATGACCCAATAAAATCTAGCTTACATCAATCACAAACTAGGAAATGAAAGTTACTGCAATTGGATTACCATTTTTCATCATTAAACTGACTTTTGTTTTTCAACCATTACCCATTCAACTTTGCAATGCTCATATTATGTTAATTAAGAACTCGAAACAATGAGCCATTCAGATATTGGAATAGCTTTAAAAGCCTTTTAAGCAAAATCCATGTTGGGAAAAAATTAAAACTGTATTTATAAAGGTTCCTATTAGCTTCCTGATGTTCAGCAGTACCAGAAGGGTTGATGGATGTGGGGTGTGTCAGTGGTTTTATTCTCATAAGTTTATCAACTTCCCACATGCTCATCATAAATGAAAATTTATATAACTATAACCAGTTTAATGTATCATGTTTAAATCAGTAAGTTTAACTACATCCGATGAACTGATATACCAGTAAGTTAATCTGTTATGTTCATATATAACATACTATTACTACATACACACTATGAGATAGGTAGGTCTGAGCATGTAAACACATACATATATATTAAATATACCACTCAAGTGAAATAATTCCAATGATACCTAAGCATTTCAGTTTAGGTCAGTTTTTACATTGGTGAATTGTGTGCATTTCAGTTACCCTAAATAAAATGCTTTACCATTATATATGTATATACCTTAGGTCCTATCTATTGTTTAGATACTACAATGTATATACAATAGGTGACCGTATTTAGCATAAAAGATATACTGGTACATGTATACAGGTGTATACCATTTCATTACCAGGGTATACACATTGCAATAAGGTCAACTAAATCAAGCATGAATTATTTATATGTAAAACTACACTTTGTTTAAAATGGATTTATTTTGAATGTTAGGTCAATCATAATACAAGAGGCCCAAGAGGGCCTGTATCGCTCACCTGAATATTTAAGCAGTCATAGCAAAATATTCTCATTAAATATTATATTGCACTAAAAATATTTCCCTCACAAACTTTGTTGGCTCCATCTGTTGAAACTACCAGCAAAATATTATTATAAGATTCTATGCTTTTTGATTCTTCTTCAGAAGTTGCTTGACATACTTTTCCCTGTGATCTTGTAAGTAGGTCAATGTCATTTTCCTTCTCAAATTGGTTAGCTCTATTCCAAAAAGCTACCAGCCAAATCTTATGAATCCATTCCTTTTAGTTCTCAAGAACAAATCCATTAAAATGTTGTTGACCTCTGTGACCTCTAAAGTAGGTTGAGGTCATTTTCATTTGCAAACTTTGGTGAGCTCTATCCCGGGAAGTCACCAGCCAAATATTATAATTTTATGCCTTTTAATTCTTCAGAAGAAGCTGTTTGAACTGTTTGACATATTTGAACGCTGTGACCTTGAAAGTAGGTCAAGGTCATTTTCATTCGCAAACTTTGTTTGGCTCTTTCCCAGGAAGCCACCTGCCAAATATTAAGATTTTATAACTACCAGTTCTTCAGAAGAAGTCGTTTAAAGTGTTTGACATATCTGCCTCATGTGACCTTAAAAGAAGGTCAAGGTCATTTTCATTCTCAAACTTTGTTCGGCTCTTTCCTAGGAAGCTACAAGCCAAATATAGAGATTATATACCTTTCAGTTCTTCAGAAGAAGTCGTTTGAAGTGTCTGACACATTTGACTCCTGTGACCTTGAAAGAAGGTCAAGGTCATTTTCATTCTCAAACTTTGTCGGGCTCTATCCAAGGAAGCCATCAATCAAAAATAAAGATTCTATACCTTTCAGTTCTTCAGAAGAAGTCATTTGAAGCTTTTGACATATATGACCCCTGTGACCTTGAAAGTAGGTCAAACTAGTTTTCATTCTCAAACTTTGTTGGGCTCTATCCCAGGAAGCCACCAGCCAAATATAAAGATTATATACCTTTCAGTTCTTCAGAAGAAGTCGTTTGAAGTGTTTGACACATTTGACCCCTGTGACCTTGAAAGAAGGTCAAGGTAATTTTCATTCTCAAACTTTGTTGGGCTCCATCCAAGGAAGCCATCAGCCAAATATGAAGATTCTATACCTTTTAATTCTTCAGAAGAAGTCGTTTGAAGTTTTTGACATATTTGACCCCTGTGACCTTGAAAGTAGGTCAAACTAATTTTCATTCTCAAACTTTGTTGGTCTCTATCCCAGGAAGCCACCAGCCAAATATAAAGATTCTATACCTTTCAGTTCTTCAGAAGAAGTCGTTTGAAGTGTTTGACACATTTGACCCCTGTGACCTTGAAAGTAGGTCAAGGTCATTTTCATTCTCAAACTTTGTTGGGCTCTATCCCAGGAAGCCATCAGCCAAATATGAAGATTCTATACCTTTTAGTTCTTTAGAAGAAGTCGTTTGAAGTTTTTGACATATTTGACCCCTGTGACCTTGAAAACAGGTCAAGGTCATTTTCGTTCTCAAACTTTGTAGGGCTCCTACCAACGAAGCTTTCAGCCAAATATCATGACTCTAGGCCTGTCCGTTCTTCAGAAGAAGTTGTTTAAAGGAAAAGTTGACGGACGAGGAAGGACGGACGGACGACGGACGCCGCGCCACGGCATAAGCTCACTTGGCACTTCGTGCCAGGTGAGCTAATAATGATATATATATATGGGGCAAAGAAGTAATTCCAACAGTGTATATATATACATATAAGCTCATGAAAATATAATGTGTTGAAAATAGAATTATGCCTGCTGTGTTTACCTTAATGTCCTAAGCTGGTATCATATGTAATAGATGTACCATAATTGTTTTTATTATATGCCATACTGAGTGATATATTGTCTCCAATATATTATATATTTTCCAGCATTTTTATTTTCTAATACTTTTCAAGCGCTGATCTATATTCCATCACCTTTCACGTTCTTTATGAACCATGGTTATTTTTGTAGGATATCCACCAAGTACCATTTTACAGCCATAACACACATACACAGTGTATTAATTGGACAGAAAGAGCAGTAATACCTTATTACTAACAGTGACCTTGATCTTATTTTTTTCTACATGTAGGAACATGCAAAAGATGTGCATTGATTAGGTTGCCTTACAAGCTGTAGGGAATTTCCCTTTATCTCAGCAGTAGAGCATCGGGCTAGAGAGCCAAGGGTCGCGGGTTCGAGCCCCAGCGACGGCACTATCTTTATCACTATTCCTCGTCCTATTACAAGCATATTCATCTGCCTAATGGTGTACATTTATCGCCATGTGGAATTTCAGTAATTTTTAAAAGACTTCTGGATTTTTATATTTTCTTCAAAATGTTAAGTCTGGGCAGACAGTGTGATGACTACCCTGTTTACCCTTACTCTAACCTCATCTTCTCTTTATCCAGCCTACAGTGTCTCCATTGAAAACTTTTAATTTCAAAGCCTTGTTTTAATTTTATTCATTTTAATTCAATTTATTGATATATGGTATATGGACTTTGAGTGTTGTGAAACACTATACCTATTATCAAAGTAATATATGAACAATATGTGTGTGATATTAGTAATTGATGTCTTAATTATGTATTGCATTTTATGTACCATGTATCTGTATGTGTATATGCGGTCATTATATGTTATTTTGTTATATACCCACCGACTCTAAATAAAATTTATCTTATCTTATCTTAATGTAATATATAGGTGTACAACATAAATAAAAGGTAACACAAAGTTGTTATTTTTTCTTTCTGTTGAGTACTATATACTGTAAATCATATACTCACTTTATATTCTATGTTTCCTTCCTCGACCTATTGAAAAGTAAATCAAAATAAAATCATTACAATAGATATTCAAATCACATACTGACATACTCCCTTTTATAATCATACAATTAAAAAAAATCAATCATATAGCTCTGTTTGATCAGTTTTTTATAAAATTATATGATCAGATAAGGCTGACTGATTCCCAATTGTGGCCAACGCATAAGCTTATATTACAAAGACTGCCATGAAAAAATAGGTGACCAAGTCCATCAAATAATCACACTTTATGATTTATTAGTATAAGAGGGTGCGATATCTAGTGGGTGCGATAATGTATCACATATATTCCAGAACCCGAGCACCTGTGCTTTGAACAAGATGATAATTAAAATCGAAACGGCCCAAATCGAAAGAACACGTATACACAATACACATGAAAGAATAAATAAGACTAATTATTAAAAAACAATTCAGTCAGCAAAAAAAAAGGCACCACACTCGTCGTGAACTCAAATAATTGTATTGTTTGGCTTAAATCAGATCTACGTTACGTATAGGCCTACCAGTAAATATTCTGGTTAGGTTTGTTTACAAACAATGATGACGCGATATTTTTGGAACAAGTTCAAATTTTGATCAAGAGAAAACAATTAATGTACATGAGTAAGTAGAAATGTAATACTGTGGGACCTTACATGTGAAAACGAAAAGAAAAGACTGAAATCGGAGGAAATAAAATGGAACATTGACATTGGAATGACACCGGCTGTCACAAATGTCAAAACAAAACAATTCTTACCTCAGGCGGTAGCGAGGCAGGTAGCTCTGTTGAGCTGGTGCCAAACAGGTCGACGAGATCGTCCATTTTTACCTATGTATTTCTATCATATATGAATCGTTGTGTCCAGTTGCATATCAACTTTTTCGTTTGCGTCTCTAGTTGTGCAATAAGAGTCGCGGAAACTTGGCATAAGCCTTCTGCAGTCAGCTGTTACCACTTTCCGGCGCCATATTGCATCACTTTATGGAAGGGAAGTAACTCTAATGTTTGTTACATACATCCCTATAAGGAGATGGACCGCGGGAATATGAACTTTTTCATTTTCCAGTTAAAGATTTAAAAACAGAACAAGTAAATAAAACCGCGACAAATTTATCTTATGGTTTAATTACAGGTACGGAATTAATCTATATTTTGTATCGAAGTTTGTGGTAGAATATATATAAGCAAGGAAGATAACCAATCTAGCTTGTTTTATACGAAGATAAGATTCACCTTTTTCTCCCTCTCAAGCGAACTTTTGGCTATTTTAATATCGCGTTAAATTGACACATCACGTCAGCGATATATATGTGACTATGATGAAAGTGCTGATTAAGATAAAAATAGTGTAATCAGATGCCAGTGATATCAACATTATCCGAGTCGTTTACTATAAATGCATATAATTATAATCCATAAACTTTATAGACCTACTATACGTGCGTATATATATAGATGATATAGTGCAGATATACTATTAATATCTATAACGGAACTGAGTTCAGTGGCGGATTCAGAGACCTATATGGGGGTTTCCAAATTTCCAGAGGGTGTCCATGTGGGGAAAAATTGTGGAAAATGGTGAAAATACATGATTTTTAAAGAAAAAAAAATCAGATGTGGGGGGGGGGGGAGGTCCTGAAGCAAAAAAAACCCTCTGGATCCGTCACTGCAATGCGTATGTAAGAATAGAGTTAATAGTTATTGCAAATTGATTTAAAATTACAATAACATCTCACTTACATCACGGACTTAGATCTAGGTACACAGATAGAACTGAGTACTAGTACTTACACCCAACGTCCACAGTACACAGGTAGACTTTGTATATATACCCTACGTCCATAGTACACAGGTAGACTTTGTATATATACCCTACGTACACAGTACACAGTTAGACTATGTATATACACCATACGTACACAGTACACAGGAAGACTTTGTATATACACCCTACGTCCACAGTGCACAGTTAGACTATGTATATACTCCCTACGTACACAGTACACAGCTAGACTATGTATATACACCCTACGTCCACACTACACAGGTAGACTATGTATATACACCCTACGTCCAGTACACAGTAAGAATATGTATATACACCCTACGTCCACAGTACACAGATAGACTATGTATATACACCATACGTCCACAGTACACAGGTAGACTATGTATATCCACCATACGTCCACAGTACACAGTTAGACTATGTATATACACCCTACGTCCACAGTACACAGTAAGAATATGTATATACACCCTACGTCCACAGTACACAGGTAGACTATGTATATACACCCTACGTCCACAGTACACAGGTAGACTATGTATATACACCCTACGTCCACAGTACACAGGTAGACTATGTATATACACCCTACGTCCACAGTACACAGGTAGACTATGTATATACACCCTACGTCCACAGTACACAGGTAGACTATGTATATACACCCTACGTCCACAGTACACAGGTAGACTATGTATATACACCCTACGTCCACAGTACACAGGTAGACTATGTATATACACCCTACGTCCACAGTACACAGGTAGACTATGTATATACACCCTACGTCCACAGTACACAGGTAGACTATGTATATACACCCTACGTCCACAGTACACAGGTAGACTATGTATATACACCCTACGTCCACAGTACACAGGTAGACTATGTATATACACCCTACGTCCACAGTACACAGGTAGACTATGTATATACACCCTACGTCCACAGTACACAGGTAGACTATGTATATACACCCTACGTCCACAGTACACAGGTAGACTATGTATATACACCCTACGTCCACAGTACACAGGTAGACTATGTATATACACCCTACGTCCACAGTACACAGGTAGACTATGTATATACACCCTACGTCCACAGTACACAGGTAGACTATGTATATACACCCTACGTCCACAGTACACAGGTAGACTATGTATATACACCCTACGTCCACAGTACACAGGTAGACTATGTATATACACCCTACGTCCACAGTACACAGGTAGACTATGTATATACACCCTACGTCCACAGTACACAGGTAGACTATGTATATACACCCTACGTCCACAGTACACAGGTAGACTATGTATATACACCCTACGTCCACAGTACACAGGTAGACTATGTATATACACCCTACGTCCACAGTACACAGGTAGACTATGTATATACACCCTACGTCCACAGTACACAGGTAGACTATGTATATACACCCTACGTCCACAGTACACAGGTAGACTATGTATATACACCCTACGTCCACAGTACACAGGTAGACTATGTATATATACCCTACGTCCACAGTACACAGTTAGACTATGTATATACACCCTACGTACACAGTACACAGGAAGACTTTGTATATACACCCTACGTCCACAGTACACAGCTAGACTATGTATATACACCCTACGTCCACAGTACACAGCTAGACTATGTATATACACCCTACGTCCACAGTACACAGCTAGACTATGTATATACACCCTACGTCCACAGTACACAGCTAGACTATGTATATACACCCTACGTCCACAGTACACAGCTAGACTATGTATATACACCCTACGTCCACAGTACACAGCTAGACTATGTATATACACCCTACGTCCACAGTACACAGCTAGACTATGTATATACACCATACGTCAACAGTACACAGCTAGACTATGTATATACACCCTACGTCCACAATACACAGGTAGACTATGTATATACACCCTACGTCCACAGTACACAGGTAGACTATGTATACACACCCTACGTCCACAGTACACAGTTAGACTATGTATATACACCCTACGTCCACAGTACACAGTTAGACTATGTATATACACCCTACGTCCACAGTACACAGGTAGATTATATAATTTGTTGATAGCCTTCCCATAGACTATACACAGCCTACATCAACAGTAAACAGGAAAGCTATATATGTACATAATGCCATGTATATATACAGCCTACCTCCACTTTACACAGGTATATTATGTATTATATATATACAGGCTATGTCCATGGTACACAGGAAGACTATGTTCTATGTATATACACCCTATGTCCATACTACACAGGTAGATTATGTATCATGTGTATACTGCCTGTGTCCAATGTACACATGTATATCCTATACTACAAATGTATATCATATACTACAAATGTACATCCTATACTACAAGTGTACATCCTATACTACAAATGTATATCCTATACTACAAATGTATATCATGTACTACAAATGTATATCCTATACTAAAAATGTATATATATATACAGCCTGTGTCCACTGTAATGATGTTTTTTGATAGGTTAACCTTCCCAAACCCCAACCCCTACCCCCTACCCCACCCCATCCTCGTTGTATCCTCATTATATGTATAGTAACTAGGGGTATTCACGACATATAAGCTAATGTACAGTGTGAAATATGTCTCAGCCTAGGACATTAGGACAATAGTGTCCATTTGTATTCGGTATATGAGTTATCCTCCGTATTACCTCCGACTTTTAAGATTTATACTGTCAGAAAAATACAAAGATTATTGAAGATAGATTGCATCAGGGTCACAAGCGATGTTGTAACACAAGCGGCGCTGTCAGGATTGACGTCGCAATAGTGTCACACATCCCCTACCACACTGTCTATTAAATACCACGCGCACGTACCCGCTTCACCACAGAACCAATCAGCCTGTTAATTCTTTGAACTGGGTATCAGGTGGGCGACTTCGTTTGGGTTGTTGGCGTGTTTTCTGAGCTGCCTGTCCAGTTCATCCCACGATTCAAGTAGCATACTTGGATATTTTTTTGAGCTAGAAAATCACGATACACTCATGCAACGTGTTGCCCGACATTAATCCAAGCGATACACATTTGGAGCGTGTGCACGACACCATTGCAGACGGCGTTGACATTGCCCATGATTATGTTGTGGCCCACCGTAAGGACATCATCAGGCGCGGATTTAGGGGGGGGGGGGCACACCCGGCCCCGNGCCCCGGCCCCGGCCCCGGCCCCCCCTTTTGGCGCCTGACTGACCTTTTCCGGGCCGTCCCGAAATGGTCTGATCGGCCGGGAATGGGAACATATTAACATTTTAAAATGCATCAAATAATGCACGGAGCTTTTATAAAAAAAATCTGGTGCTACGCCCCACACATTCCATACGGCATCCTAGCAAATATTGTGGGTTTCCGTTATCCGATATTTTTTACTATATTTTCTGTATTAAAACAATATTTGTTGGCATCGCTACGCTCGTCTACTTTGTATCTTGACCCTAAAGTGTTTTATTTTTATTTTACCACCAAGTTGCAACTTGCAACGCTCGGCGGAAATATATACTAGCATAAGTTGCATAATTATATTATTGACCGCTCGTTATAGATGATCTGAAAATTAATACTTTTTATTGTAACCTTCCTAACCGCTCGGGCGATATTAATCATTTCATTATACAAGAACTATGAAGTTTTTTTCGGCTGACAATATTATGTATAATCGACTAAACATATCTATTCAATAATTTTTGGTATTATATATACTGTTGGAACTGTTTAACTATCTTGTATGTACAACATAATATCTCATTGTGGTACTTATAGCTTACCATCGTGTACGTACAAGAAAGTATCTTCATACAGCATACTATTGTGTACGTAGTAATAAGCTGTACGTACCAGAATGAGATGGTATGCTGTACTTACAAGTATGATAATTTAAATTAAATTTAAAGGTGACGCGTATGTGCCTCCTAAGTTGTACCATTTTGACCAGATAGCTTAGCAAATGTACCACTGTTGGTAATATGCACGCCCTTACATGAGTTAATCAGCGTGGACATTTCAGATATATCATTGTCTACACTAGTGAATTAGTCAACAATTATAAAACGCGAGACTATATAGCTAGTGGTCTTGGGTGTCGCACTTATTTGAACTTATCCGTTTGTTTAGCAACTTAGTGATGCCATGAGTAACTCATTAATTAAACAGCAACGATGTTATGGTGTTATTTGTTCTTTTGTACGACAAACTATTACATGAAGTACTGTACTGTAGGTACAATGTCTGAAGACTAGATATTGTGCGTCCCTGTTTTTTGACGGTGGACCTCTCGTATCCCCTTTGCGGGCGGGACGCCAAATTAGGTAATAATGAACAAGTCCCCTGTGGATTCATACATTTGTCATCACCAGGTTGCCCCTATAATAATACCATCTGACTTCTAAAACACGCTGTTGATAGAGAATTTAAACCGAAACTTTAATTTTCTTTCCAGTACACAAAAAAATGTCTTTGGGCCATACTTAATTTTTTTTTTCTTCTTCTTGTTAATTAAACATAAAAACAATCCTCAGTCAGAACACGGGAAATCGCTTCTGAGACGTTGTAGAAAACACAAAAAAAAATCCCCTCCTGTACCATCCCCCTCCTCGCGCTACTCGCTCGGGGTGCTGCGATCGGCAGCACACCATTTACTATTGATTGAGAAAAAATTCTCGGCCCCCCTTTTAGGAAATCCTGGATCCGCCCCTGATCATAGCTTTACGATGAACTCACACAACCGATTTCTGACCGTTCTCATGCGCAGTCGGCACCCATGATTACCGATGACGTTGTTCGCCATTTGAAAATAGTCCCGGGGACTCTATCTTGACGTCCACTTCTGGAACGGTAAGACCACTAACTTAACTGACAATAGTTGATACATGAACACGAAACTGCTTGGCGACGCGACGTTGGGATTCACCTTGCAAAATTAGAGCAATAGCTCGTCCTCTTTCACCTGTAAACATTCACGGCATTCTGGTTTTTACCATCAGCGATACCCAGGGGTTACGCTCACTAAGTTGAACATTTACTGTCATGTTGCATGTACATACTGTGAAATCAATAAAAGTACTAGGAATGCAAATAAACAACACATGCTTTAGTTATGACGCCATTTTATTATCAATATCACGCTTGGCAGTTTACTTCAAATGACAGAGTGAACAGCTTTGCATCAAGTAGCTCAGACATTTGAAAGTGATGTTCCGTCAATATCGTCGCTGGACCCGAGTTAAAAGAACGTTCCTTACTTTAAAAATAAAAATAAGTTTAGAAAAATGAATTCATAACCTTAACTCGAATTATATTTTGCTACAAAATAGTAAATGAACGTGATGAAACTGGGGCCAGTGTCAAAGAGACGTCTCTTATTGTGGTACTGACTCCTTCTGTCGAGACTCGATGTAGCGCTTGGTTTTCGACACACAGAAAGCTACGTTTTTACTGCCCCTACTGAAGTCAAGTCGGAGCCTGCCGAAGTCAAGAAGGACGATTCCACCGATGACAATAATGAGAATGACGAGGCCGGCGGCCCCAATGCCACGGGCACTGAGTCTGTAGTCGGTGGCGCTGCTCTTCCGTCGCTTGTGTTGGGACGTGGTACGCTTGTCCACCCGGGTCTCCGCTTTGAGCCACTCGAGACGTTCCTCCAGTGTAGTGTTCTGTTCTTTGTAACACACACAGTGTTCCGGTGATGGAGTAGCGGTAGAGGTCAACACGTGCGTGGTCTTCACAGTAACACTCAAACCCGGTGCGGTTGAAGTATCGTAGCCGTATAGACAGGGGGCAGACGTGACGTCAAAGCTCGCGTCTCGTGAACATTTGTTCTTGGGCAAAGAGGAGGCGTCAGGAACAGATACTGGATTCACAAATTCGGCACCAGGGAACGTTACTGAAAAATAAACTTACAACTGATATATTTATTTTTCGTAAACCTTAATTATGCATCTCCATTTTGACAATCTACAAAGATAAATTTGCAAATATTAGGGTCGAATAACATGCGTACATGTATAACACCAATTAATTATGTGTTTTGTCGTTTGCAAAGAGTCTTGCTAGAACATAAATATGAGTTAAAACAATGAGCAATTAAAGACTGCGATGTTTTATTTTTTTTCTTCAATAAATCCAAATTACATGTATATATAAATGATTATAGTCTGAAGAATCTCCTTGATGAGATGAAAGCGCTAAAGACGTGTTGCTAAAAATGTATCTTTTTATTATTGAGTCTTACACGTAAAGCAGTTCTTTGTGTAGAATAACAGTTCCGGCATACATGTACTCGCGTACGACATGCGCTCGTGGAGGTAGCACGAGCCATTTTGTTGGTAAAATGTGACGGCCCAGCATTCTTCGTCCCCGGTCACGTGATACATACACTTGGTCTGACACTTGCCAAGACTCGTGGTAGTCACCAAGGTGCTCTGGGTCTTACTAAAGTCAACACATCGGCTCGGCTCCTCACCCATCTCACATCCACCTGTACATGGAGTAGAACATCGTGAATAAACGAATCAAGAAATACATTTGAATTGAAATATTCAGGGGCGTTTCTAGGAAGTTTGAAAGAGGGGGCGTAGAATAAAATCTGTCGCCGAGCGGAACGCGGCGAAAAAAAATTGGGACTTTTTTTTGCTAAAAAACATAAAATAATTGTGAAATGCACTAATGTAACGGTTCCTGACTTGGAGCATGTCTATTTTATAGTTAAAGTGTCATGGTTTGACATTTGTTTATCAGAGTATGTGTTTAATTAATGAATATGATAAATTGCCATATTCAATACAATATTAGCAGATTACGATATTTATTTATTTATTTATTTTTTTGAAAAGGGGGGTTACGCCCATTACGCCCTCACCTGGACCCGCCCCTGATATTAACAGCAAAGTTAAACTCGATACAAGTCGAATTTGGGAACTCATGGATACCTCCTTATGATTTTATATAAAACAACACCGGATCGACAGAATGAGTCTTCATTCTAAAACCGCTTAAACAACTCACTGAGCCACAATGCGCCAAGTCAGCCAACTCAGCTCTCAGAATAATATAGAGAAATATTGCCCAAATACCACTCTTATACTACAGGCAGTCAAACGAACTTCGCATAGGTTATTCATACAAAACTGATGAATCTCATTCCAAATATGGACATTCCTCAGTCCAAACGAATCAATAATAAGACATTTGCTCGTTATGAGAATCATCAAATTGTAAGAAATACAAAATGAAAATGTGTTCTTACTGCAACTGCACTGCCCTATCAACGCACTTAGGGCTCGTACCACCATATACAGAGCAGGAAAACAGTTAACAGGAGAAGGGTAAGAACTGATAGCAACACCATTGATTGTTTGACTAGATGTAACAGTATTATAAACAAACTACTCATCCTTTCTGACAAAGACACCGCTTATCATGCCAGGTCTAATTCACATCTGAATACACGAAATATAAAGAATAACAACCGCAACAATTGATAACACGTTGAAGAAAAGAAGGAAAGATTAAAAAGATAACTATGATCTGTCTGGCACTCAGATCAGGAAATGGGTGATTCATATCAGCAAGGACAGATGACCAGACCAACGTACTTGGCAAGGGTCTCAATAATACCATCAAACCTAAATACTGGCCAGTGGAAGAGTTTGTAGCGGCCACAGACATCACAGTTTCAAAACTCCAGCAGACAGAGGCAGAACAAACTTAGTTCATAAGAAAGACAAATTTCCAAATGACATGGGTGGTTTACCAAATACCATGTAACAGCTTCAACCTTACATTCATCAGTGACACTAGCCGGAGATTCGGCACAAGCCTTATATAAATATATAAAGAACAAAAACGATCAAAAAGTAAAGTCGAATGTAAACATTGAAAACAGTATTTGGGTTTAAGTTTCTCCACCCCCCCCCCTCCCCCTCCCCATCCCAAATCATTGACAACATACGATTATTATTATTTTTTAATTCATAACCAGAACAAAAAAATAAGTGTAAGCACAAAATCCATGCTCGAACCTAATAGTAGTTTCGTGAATACCCTCAGAAAGACGTTGAAGCAATGAAACAGCTGAAGTCTACGCTAGATTTACAAGAAAAACATTGGAGAAACGGTATAACAAATTAACCATTAACAAATTAACCATTACAGACATTGCTAACATCTCAACCATCATAGACTGGAACAAAAGGAGGACAACTGGAAACATCAAAGAAGCCATCTGTATAATGAGGGAATGGGAATCCATGGACAAAGGTGCGAGGGCCACCGGCTGATTCATCTTTATCACCCGATTTTAACATCCACCAAGAGGCGGAATGTGTAAATGAGTGCTATTTGGACGAATTGTCTCGATATAATTCTGACAGCTGACTTCCTGACTCAGTACAATGTGGCTTAGTGAGTTCTTTTCAGCGGCCTAGAGTCAGTGTGTACTCTTTGCTTGACAAAGGAAATAGACATTTTTGAAAGTCTCAATATTAGTTTTCAATTCAGTTTGTGGTCAAAACAAGTTCGGATATAACGCTGAATGGATGTTGAGGGAATGCTATTTTAGTTCACCGCTTGATCATGATGTACATTTATACAAAGTATAATTTCTTAACATGATGGACATTTGGGTGAGAGTCGGCCCCGAAAACTTTATTTCGGTACCTGTGGTTAAAGGCTTTAAATAGAGGTCACGATGTTCCAATTTGCCACGCACCACATTATAGCACCCACATACCAAGTGTGAGGTTAAGCAGCGACATATTTTGCATCGGAGACTGAAGGTCAGAAGAGTCTGCAATGACCCAAGTCACAGTATCTGTTAATTTAAGTCCATCATGAAACGTGACGTAGGTCTGTTAGGGGAACTTGTATTTCTGCATCTTAATGGAAGGTCAAAGGAGGTAGTGATAGCCTCATTCAGGTACGCGACACAGCGCCTTCTTTTGGCTCTATGTACAAATATACTCAATATGCTGGGACCCTTCGAGGTGAACAACATGACATATTGACTTACATGGTCGATACGATTCACATAAAGCTGGCAGCCGTTTAGAACAGTTGGATGGATGCCAGCGTACATCAGCATCCAGAGAAACACAGGAGTGGTCAGTCGTGTCTTTGTCCAAGGTCTCGTTCCATGATTGCCATCCCGTGATATTGGAACAGTCGCTCCACACGTAATCACTGGTGTTACCATCCTGGTGGAGTCCTATCCACAAATGGCTGGAACCGCTGTAAGGACACCATTAAAAGGACAGAAAATGATACTCTTTGCGTTGCCGCTTTGATCTGTGACATTGATTACAGTTTCAGTTGATTCAAAAGTACTGAGCACCAACTCGACGAAGTAATGCACTGTATGTGTAGACAGCTTCTCACCACACTGTATGTGTAGACAGCTACTCACTACACTGTATGTGTAGACAGCTTCTCACTACACTGTATGTGAAGACAGCTTCTCACTACACTGTATGTGTAGACAGCTACTCACTACACTGTATGTGTAGACAGCTTCTCACTACACTGTATGGGTAGACAGCTTTTCACCACACTGTATGTGTAGACAGCTTATCACTACACTGTATGTGTAGACAGCTTCTCACTACACTGTATGTGTAGACAGCTTCTCACTACACTGTATGTGTAGACAGCTTCTCACTACACTGTATGTGTAGGCAGCCTATCACTGCACTGTATGTGTAGACAGCTTCTCACTACACTGTATGTGTAGACAGCTTATCACTACACTGTACGTGTAGACAGCTTATCACTACACTGTATGTGTAGACAGCTTATCAATACACTGTATGTGTAGACGGCTTCTCACTACACTGTATGTGTAGACAGCTTCTCAATACATTGTATGTGTAGACAGCTTATCACTACACTGTACGTGTAGACAGCTTATCACCACACTGTATGTGTAGACAGCTTATCACCACACTGTATGTGTAGACAGCTTATCACTACACTGTATGTGTAGACAGCTTATCACTACACTGTATGTGTAGACGGCTTCTCACTACACTGTATGTGTAGACTGCTTCTCACTACACTGTATGTGTAGACAGCTTATCAATACACTGTACGTGTAGACAGCTTATCACCACACTGTATGTGTAGACAGCTTATCACCACACTGTATGTGTAGACAGCTTATCACTACACTGTATGTGTAGACAGCTTCTCACTTCAGTGGATAATTTGCTGTTTTTCGAGGTGTTCGATTACGAGACAATTACATCCCTAACATTTTACTTAACACATTTAAACTGAAGACCTACCATCATTTCTTAATCCTGTGTTTAGACAAAACTACCTGATACATCGATTATTTCAATAGTTTTACCCCAAAATTGTTAAAGCTAACGTATTGACAGTGATGATAGGGATACCTCACTTGACGTCTAATATCATCATAACACGGTACGTTAGTAATCCCTATCGATTAGTGTATAGCATTCCGAGACTTCGATTTCTGGACTTAATTTGTCATTTTTTTTAACTTAAAGTGGCATATCAGCGACTTAGGGAGATATTTGTCGGATGTTGCTGTCACAGAACATGACACTGATCCTGTTCTAATGGCGGATAAAGGCAGTCAACCATTCCACATTAGTATCAATTCCCGCGTACTCTGGTATGCAGGTAGTCATTGAAAGTCTTGTGCAAAGCAAAGAATTGATTTCAAAACATATATCGCCAGAGCCGAAACCGGGCACTTCCTTAAATGACCATAGTTGTTAATAGGACGTAAACCACAAACAACCCCGTTGTGTTGGGATCGCCCCAATTTACTGTTTCCTGGTGTCACATGCCAAATGAACAAATCCAAAACTTCTGACTGTCCACATTTTATAATTAAATGTAATCGCTATTCAGACCTCCGGTCTAAATACATAAAGAAATATTATTTCAAAAGGCATAGTATGTATAAATTTGTTCAATTACTCAAAATCGAAAACACAAAGGAACTAATAATTTAGGAAAGTATTTATCACTAACGTTTAAACGTAGAGCAGATTTATTAAGAGGTCATCAATAGAACAGGTCATGTTAAGATACATGTTGTACATCAGTTTATTGTATACAAATTATGTAATATACCATTATATTGATAAGTCTTGTATGGGTGAATGAGGGTGAAAAATGGTACTGGCGTGTGTATGAATGTACCCTGTACCCCGTACCCTGTACCCTGTACCATGCACCCCGTACCATGTACCCTGTACCCCGTACCCTGTACCCTGTACCCCGTACCCTGTACCCTGTACCCCGTACCCTGTACCCCGTACCCCGTACCCTGTACCCCGTACCCTGTACCCTGTACCCCGTCCCATGTACCATGTACCATGTACCCCGTACCCCGTACCCCGTACCCCGTACCCAGTACCCCGTACCATGTACCCTGTACCCCGTTCCCTGTACTTTCACAGCACAATACATTCAATACGATGTGTATCTCGATACACATGTCTGTTTTAAAGTAAGTTTCACAATACATGTGTTCAGATATTTTACAGAGATGTAATGAAAACTTTACGATGTCAATAGTAATTACAGTTTAAATATATCTGTGTTCGAGCTGTTGTACGTATTTTGTATCACTGCACAACGGATAACATTATTACTGGCGTATAAAAAAAAGAATAAGTGAACTCGCAAATCGAATTTATTAAGAATTGATTGATAATACCCGAATTGTGAAGGTATTTCCCTATGCAGACAAACAAAAAGATTTGCTACAATACACAACAAAGTCTTGAACGATTCAATGAATTGTTTCAGTCTACGCTTTACCCTGTACCCCGTACCCTGTACCCTGTACCCCGTACCCTGTACCCCGTTTTGTTTTATTTGAACTGTATTTACATGTACTATTTACATCGTAAAGCTACATGTATTGTGAAACTAACTTTAAAGTCAGATATGTGTATCAAGATACATGTCGTATCGAATGTATTGTGCTGTGAAAATACAGTTTACGGGGTACAGGGTACGGGGTACAGGGTCCTAGAATCAGGGTTGCTAGGTTGGTTTTAACTCATCGGTGAAATAGTTTTGACAGCACACTTCATTCTTGGTCTGGTATCTTTTAGTTTTTGTTTAAAGATTAATGTTATAACTAAACAGTAGCGTGCCATAAATTTTGTTACGCCAAACGTTTATTTGCTAGCCCGCCGAATACAAGATGACCATCATGTGTTCACTATGGTCGCACAATTACTAACTTTATAATAAAACACAGAGAGTAAATCGACCGTCATACACATCTTATAATTAACCTATTGTCCAAACTATTATCATAGTGTGTAATTAAATAAAATTTTGTTTAAATACTAATCTTACTAAATTACACGGTTTATCTTTTTCGATCTGTCCGTTTGTTGGAAAAGGACGTTTTTTCGTCCTTAACTATAGAAAATGATTTATATTTTAAGAAAGAAAATGGAGTCTATAAGATTACACAGATATTCTTCATGTTTAGATAGCACAGAAAATGTCCGTTTGTATGAAAATTGTTGAACAATTAGTTTTTGACAGAGAGGATGCTCAACAGAATAATTTCTAATTATTTTCTTCATGTGGGTATGGATTGTGAAAAGATTCATGTAGCACAACCAAAAAGTGTTCATAGGTGACGTTTTTCATCGAAACGTCACATATAAACACTTTTTTTTGTGCTGCATGCATCTTCTCACAGTACAATAAAATAGTACCAACAAAATAGGTTACTTACAGAAGATTTCGACTGACCAAATGTTTAACTGCGCTGACCATAGACGCTTCTTTTACCTCGCTTTCCACATTTGCGAGTTTCCCGCCATTAGCTTCACAGACGGTCGCGGCGTCATTCCAAGAAACAGGTGTACTGATGAAGGTGAACACCGTGGAGGTCGTTTGCGGAATGTCACCAATAGCTGTAACGAGATTACCTTCTAATCACAAACAATCACTTTTAGGAGGTATTTCTTCTTAAGAAATATGCTTAGATCAAGCAGGTATCAGGCGTGGCTTCGACACACGACATCGTAGCCCCTCGGAAAGCCCAAGTTTAAAATATCGCCCACCCGCTCTGCGATATACACAGAAAATATAATTGTACATTGAAACCAGCCTTAACACTCAACTGTCCACTTGTTTATATATAATATCTGTCAATTAAAACTGTAATGCAATCACCTGCATACTCTTTTATATTATTATATTTCCCAATACCCTATCTAACTAACTCCATATAAACCATATAGACCTTAGCAGGTTTACCTGTGTACAAAGATTTATTGTCTATGAACTACTGTCAACATATTACATAGGGATAAACTGCCTATAGTTACCACCTGTGAATAGTTCCCATATACCCTGTCTATTAAAACCAACTATTATGGCCGCATTTTTCAGTCGCCTTAGAGAATTTTTGTGCTGTTTATCATTTTTGATAAATTAAAATGTTTAAATTTATTGAACAAGGAAAATCTGAATTCTAAAATATACCAATGGGGTTGAATGAAGCAGTTAAATCGGTAATAATTTTGCAGAATTAAGCTGTTTTTACCGTTATCAATTGAGTAGAATTTAGAAATGATATTTTCCCGTTAATTAAACGATTTTGTTATTCATCAATCCTGGCATGACTAAGAGTTTATGACCATCCCGACACGTACTGTACTCACCAAACGTGATGTATACCCAGGCCACAATGCCCCCCCGACACGTACTGTACTCACCAAACGCGATGTATACCCAGGACACAATGACCAACCCGACACGTACTGTACTCACCAAACGGGATGTATACCCAGGCCACAATGACCACCCAACACGTACTGTACTCACCAAACGTGATGTATCCCCAGGCCACAATGACCACCCCGACACGAACTATACTCACCAAACGTGATGTATACCCAGGACACAATGACCACCCCAACACGTACTGTACTCACCAAACGTGATGTATGCCCAGGCCACAATCACCACCCCGGCACGTACTGTACTCACCAAACGAGATGTATACCCAGGCCACCATGACCACCCCGACACGAACTATACTCACCAAACGTGATGTATACCCAGGACACAATGACCACCCCGACACGTACTGTACTCACCAAACGTGATGTATACCCAGGCCACAATGACCACCCCGACACGTACTGTACTCACCAAACGTGATGTATACCCAGGCCACAATGACCACCCCGACACGTACTGTACTCACCAAACGTGATGTATACCCAGGCCACAATGACCACCCCGACACGTACTGTACTCACCAAACGTGATGTATACCCAGGCCACAATGACCACCCCGACACGTACTGTACTCACCAAACGTGATGTATACCCAGGCCACAATGACCACCCCGACACGTACTGTACTCACCAAACGTGATGTATACCCAGGCCACAATGACCACCCCGACACGTACTGTACTCACCAAACGTGATGTATACCCAGGCCACAATGACCACCCCGACACGTACTGTACTCACCAAACGTGATGTATACCCAGGCCACAATGACCACCCCGACACGTACTGTACTCACCAAACGTGATGTATACCCAGGCCACAATGACCACCCCGACACGTACTGTACTCACCAAACGTGATGTATACCCAGGCCACAATGACCACCCCGACACGTACTGTACTCACCAAACGTGATGTATACCCAGGCCACAATGACCACCCCGACACGTACTGTACTCACCAAACGTGATGTATACCCAGGCCACAATGACCACCCCGACACGTACTGTACTCACCAAACGTGATGTATACCCAGGCCACAATGACCACCCCGACACGTACTGTACTCACCAAACGTGATGTATACCCAGGCCACAATGACCACCCCGACACGTACTGTACTCACCAAACGTGATGTATACCCAGGCCACAATGACCACCCCGACACGTACTGTACTCACCAAACGTGATGTATACCCAGGCCACAATGACCACCCCGACACGTACTGTACTCACCAAACGTGATGTATACCCAGGCCACAATGACCACCCCGACACGTACTGTACTCACCAAACGTGATGTATACCCAGGCCACAATGACCACCCCGACACGTACTGTACTCACCAAACGTGATGTATACCCAGGCCACAATGACCACCCCGACACGTACTGTACTCACCAAACGTGATGTATACCCAGGCCACAATGACCACCCCGACACGTACTGTACTCACCAAACGTGATGTATACCCAGGCCACAATGACCACCCCGACACGTACTGTACTCACCAAACGTGATGTATACCCAGGCCACAATGACCACCCCGACACGTACTGTACTCACCAAACGTGATGTATACCCAGGCCACAATGACCACCCCGACACGTACTGTACTCACCAAACGTGATGTATACCCAGGCCACAATGACCACCCCGACACGTACTGTACTCACCAAACGTGATGTATACCCAGGCCACAATGACCACCCCGACACGTACTGTACTCACCAAACGTGATGTATACCCAGGCCACCATGACCACCCCGACACGTACTGTACTCACCAAACGTGATGTATACCCAGGCCACAATGACCATCCCGACACGTACTGTACTCACCAAACGTGATGTATACCCAGGCCACAATGACCAACACAACACGCACTAATTTGCCGAACATTCCGACACCAAATAACGAGCTTCACTAATTTGATTTCCAAATGCAGTCTATGGACATGCTCTCTGCTAGTCTATGGACATGCTCTCTGCTAGTCTATGGACATGCTCTCTGCTAGTCTATGGACATGCTCTCTGCTATTGCTCCACGCCAGCTATTGAACCACCAAGTTGTAAAGAACATCCTATTCTCAATTCTGCATAACGATTTTCTCCCTCAATTCGCCGACTCGTTTGTTGTTTCCCAGATCAAACACCGTTATGAAAATAATATTAGGTATTTTAAGTAGACAGTTGGGTTTGGTCGAGATATTAAAAAACGGCAAACTGTTGGTTCTCTTGGGAATTAGCAGATAAAAAGAAAATCATGGATTAATCCGTTGTTAAAGGAGATGCCGTGAAAATTGGCAGGAAAGGTGTGAACACCTCCGGAAAATCAATATCATTAGATGACTTCAAACAAGGTACGTCTGATGCTGCATGCATATACGCTTGTATCCTTATCTAGTGAGTTCCGTTTCTTAAAAAAACCTTCCGGTTGTTCTTATTCAATTTTCCGATGTATTATAATTAAGTTTAACATTGATTTCAGTTGGTTTTTATAGTGAAAAATAAAACGAAGCGCTAATTTGAAAATTAAGATTTGACATTACCGTCGATTCTATGACAAAATTTAAAAAAAAATCGAATTATAACCCTCTCTCTTTCTCTCGGTACATATTCCTCCATACACCATAACACTTCAATTCTGAAGTATACGGATTTGTAGCTCATTGCTCCCAACCGGATTTTTCTTCTTCCTTCTTTTGGCCTTAAAGCCTGAAAACTCAAAAGATTTTGTAGATAATTATTGGCTGATCTCACACTAATTAGGGCTTTTCACAAACTGGTGAAAAGACCTATTGTTTTTGCTATGTTTCTTATTCAGAATTATATGTAGATAATTTGCAGGGCTAACATTTTTGTCAGTGCTTTATCTCAAAAAAGGTCAAATAAAAAACCTGGCTGTTCGGTCAAAAGTCACAATTTTTTTTCATTTTTTTTTTGGAAAAAATCTTTTACAAATCAATGCAGAATTCCATTCCGATGAATTTAATGTCTTTAGTTTTTCTGTAACATTTACCATTAACGTCCTATGGCGTGTTCATTATTATCTTTGGTCTTTTATGAAAATCCGAAACTATTTTTACAAACGATCTTCTTCTCCAATTCTGCCATTGCAATATTAACCACAATTGGTACATGTTTTCCTCTAGGTGCCCTTACGAACTTATGTTACTTTTTGGAGCAATTAATATTCCAAGATGGCCGCCACGAACTCTGATTGGTTAACAGCCGATACCAATATATTTCGTTAAAGATATCAAACACGAGGTTGATCTTTGGATATCATATAGATATAGCCAAGGGCAAACTTTTTTGTTCATACTGTTTTAACAAAAAATTTCAACTTCCGATTTTCGGTAGGGGTCAAAGTTTAAAAGTGTAATTTTGTGAAAAAAAATCAAAAAACTTTTTCTCAATAACCAAGTGACCCAAGTTCATAATATTTATTGAATATTCATGCTCAAGCAATGGACTATCAAGTTTGATCATATGAATTACCGTGACCCAAGTTCAAGATCACTGGTGTCAATTATGTTAAAATCTTCAAAAGAATCCGTCTCAAAAACGAAAATGCCCAGGGTATTGATATTTGGTCTGTAGCATGCTAGAATGATGGGCTACAAGGTTTATTGACACAAATGACCATTAAAGATCAACTTCCGGTATTTGATAGAGGTCAAATTCGAACATGTAATTTTAACAGATACCAGGACTTTTACTACTGGTGTAAGGGAAGTAACTCGTATTAGCTACAAAGCCAAATCAGTCCTTACAGTGAAAAGCCCGTCAAATTGTTAGCCAACAATTTCTAGTTTGTTACTAGTTTTATTCAGACATCAAGGAGAACAATATTATTAGCGTCGACCTCTTTCTTTATCTAAATTAAGCCACATATGCGGAAATAAAATGGCGAACATTCAATAAATAGGTATTTACCTTAAGTTTGGATATTTTCTCCATCAGATTAGGAAAGTGAGGGTCAGTGGTATCCAACGTTACAAATGTGACGTCATAATGACTAATATAATCTGCCCCTTCTTTGAGGGGTGATGTTTTTGGGTTGTCTAACCATCGGCAGAGCCTCGGGTTAAACAACCAAAAAACATCACCCTCGGGTTGGAGATTTCTCTGTCACACCATCATGTTAAGGGCTGATAAGTTTTCTCCCATCCTATTATTTCACTCACAACTCCACCGACAGTAGTCTGTCGTGTTTGTAAACAAAGACACATGTGAGGTATGAATATCGTCATTCATTTTTGATGACGTCACAATTACCGGTGACACATTTAATTGACGTCACAATTAAACACGTGCTAATCGGCATGAGAGTATCTCCCCCTCTTTCGATTCCCGGCTAAAACGGAAGACTAATAGAATCTTCAGGGACCTTGAGGGTGTGACCGAGAAATCTCCAACCCAAGGGGTGATGTTTTTTGGTTGTTTAACCCGAGGCTCTGCCGAGGGTAAGACAACCAAAAAAGTCACCCCGAGGGTTGGAGATTTCTTTGTAACACACCCTCACGGTAGGGGATGATGAATTTTTCTCCCACCTTATTATTTTAGTCACAGCTCCACCGACAGTAGTCTGACATGTTTGTAAACAAAACCACATGTGGTGTATGCATATCGTCATTCACTTTTAATGACGTCACAATGTACCGATGACGCATTTTAACAATGTCACAATTGAACACGTGCTAATCGGCACGAGGCTATCTCCCCATAGGGGGTGACAAGCTGATCTTTCCCGGCTAAAACGGGAAACACACCTGTGAAGGGTGGGAGAAACACCTGTGAAGGATGGTAGAAAATGGTGTCAACATTCGGGGCATGGCATTCATAGCTTATACATTTACTATCGTACGGCAGTTCCAACATATAACCCTACTTTTCGGAAGGTTATCACCCTTCCTGGACAAATTGCTGTTCTGATAATTAAAGCAGCATATGTACGATAAATCCATTGTTTGAACTAAATGATAAATAATGGTGCATGTGCGTATAGCCTATTGCCCCGCAGTTTCGAGAAAATAATAATAAACCTCCTGTATCCCACCACATCTCGTATAAGAGCTGACTATAATGTCGGGCCCTGTCAGTAGAATCGGGGGCTTTCATCTGTGTCTGTTGCTACTTAGGGGATATTCAAGAAACAACCTTAATCTACTACCCTAATGCAACATTTGGGATCTTTACATTTTCTTTCTGCTTCTCAACGACCATCTCGTTTCCTTACTTGGTAATACTTCACTAAACGTTCGCCCAATGTGTTATGTCCCCAAGTACTATAATTTAACCGAATGGAGTACTGTCTGTGGTGCCTTCGGCATGGTATTTCAGTGAGGAAGCACTATATATATAAGAGTCGGCATTAAATTGAGTGAACTTAGCTATAAATAGGTCAGTTCAAACATATATTAAACCAAATTAAGTATTGCCTATGTATGCCGATTGAAAACAATTAAGTATATGAATTTTAGTGGCAATATCATATGAAAGTTATTAAAGAAGAACATATGCATAATATACCTTTCTTGCAGTCACTTTTGATTTATTTATCTATTAAAAAATTGACATAGGATAACGTATCCCTGTTATCTTGATTAGAATTTAGATTTTGTCGAGTTTTAGCTTAGATAGAATCTAGCTGCACTAACCACGGTATCTAATTCCGTGCACTAACTAAATGGACACAACACTTTACCTTCTAATCTGTTTATTTTTTTCAACATTAATGATTAATTTCAAATATTATTAAATGATTTTAAAATATTAAAAGGCTTTAGCTGGCCGCAAGTAGATATCAATATTGAATAACCTTACTTTCGTTTAAACGGTTGAACAGGTCGGACCACAGCTGTTCGTCTTTTAAATAAGGTCGGACCTACTTATTTGATGCTGCTTTCAGGCCAGCCTCGACAAACCCTTGCAAGGCCTGTAGGCCTGCATGCACATTTACAGGTTTACCAGGGCCGTTTTCGTTTAAACGGTCAAACCGATCTGACCACTGTTGTTCGTTTATTTAATAAGGTCGGACCTAGTAATCTGATGCTGCTTTCAGGCGAGCCTTGAGAAAGCCTTGCAAGGCCTGCATACACATTTGCAGGTCCGCCAGGATTTATACCCGAAATTGTAACATTTATAAACGGTCAAACCGGTTGTCCCGCATAAACGAACAGGCCCCAGGGGACCCGGACATTCCCTCGATATTTTTGACATCACGTTAGATAGGAGAACATTGTTATTTTAACAAAACGTTGCAAAATTGATATTCTGTGTATTAGGTTTATATCAAAACTTTACATTAAAACATAGATGAATTTCACCACCCTTGTTGTAGGTTTGGTCCGTTTATTATCGTCAGTCATTGTAATCTCACGAGAAAATACGTGAATTGCTATTGGTGACCAAAATGGCGGATGGTAAGCATTTTGAGGTTTTGCTTCGGTCGAAAGTTCATAATATATACTAATCATCGTAACTTGTATCGATATTTGGAAAGCAGAGTTGTCGACAAAGATATTCTGGTTAACAGGGAATATTTAAGTGTTTTACAGACGACTAAATAGCGGAATAGAGATCACATAATTTTAAAAATAGAAGACTGTCGTCTGACGGTGTTTGGCGCGCCGGTGATCTGCTGATATTGTTACAGTCCAAGTCACATTTGTCGTTGGCATCCCATGATTCTTTACCTCGGACTAGATGACAAGCATGTACACATTTTCCTTTTGTAGTTTATTCACAAAACTACTTCTGATTGTGAACGTTAAACGTGCAAAGAAAAAATTCACAAGTCAACAATAACATGCTAATTATAAACCGATGACGAGACGACATATCATGACATCATTTCCTATGTTCACGTAAACACTAAATATATAAGGTTTAATAATTAAATTAAAAATATGTCACCGTCTCATTGGCCGTGTATTATTTCCGCTTCTGTTACATAGTTTCTTAGTGAAAAATGTAAACTGTGAACCTTTTTAAAATTATCATCAATACTTGGGAGGAAATGTACAGTCTGGAACACATTGGAATAAAGCTGCACTGTCTAGGATCCTCGTAGATAACATTATCACAACACTGGCAAATTATTCAGACTTGTAGGGGATATTTTAGATTAGTTCTTTTGTACAAAAATATTCATCAAATATTTGCTGTCACATTATGCATACAATATCCTGGTTCACTCCTCCGTTCTCCTACACAGACGATAGTGAAAATACACACCGTTACCGAATGGAATAATCTTTGGTTTCTGCCAATACTGTGGACGGAAGCCAGCACAGTAAACACTTTCTATTTGATTTTCATTGTATTTCCCTGTGACTTTGGCCTTTTCTGTTTATATCCAAAATTGTTTTTTTTTTTTTTTTTTTTTTTGNGGTGACTGTGTGTGTGTGTGGTAATAAAACTAAAAATAGTATATTTATGATTGCTTCTGTTAAATGGGATCCTGGCCAGATGATGTTATCATATACTTGCTTTTGTTTTGTGTCTTAACTTCTAAGCATGTATACATATGGCCTTTTGTCAAATCAGGTTCAATCAGACGGTTGCTTCATCAGTATGTGTGTGTCTGTGTTGTGGTTTTCAGAGCATATCTCAGTGACTGTTTCACGAATGGGCATCAAACTGAAATCATGGAAAGGCGATGCGTCACATTAAAAAAACTAGCCCAATTTGTCCTCTGACTGTTGATCTTGACCTGTAGTAATGAAACACAGTGTTGAAGGGGTTTCCAAAGCATATATTGACTACTATTTTAAGCATGTACTTCAGCTTTTGTGTGAATGTACTCAATAATCAATGAATATGTCTGGTTGTAAAATTTGATTCAACCTCATACAGTCTTCAGTTTAAAACAGTTTTTTTTTCTTTATTTCAGATCAAGCAAATATAGGTGGTTCAGTGGCTGGAGAGGCAATTATGGAACAAACAACTACACCAACACCATCAGAGGTTCCAGAAAATGTTCAAGTAAGTGTCATCAAACATGACAGGACTGTATGCCAAATTTTCAATTTCAATCAGAACTAAAATGAAAAACATTTTGTAGTTCTGATGACAATATAGGGCTGTTACAAATGCCCAGGTATAGGGCAATGTTAACATGGATCTATTACCAGGTAAGAATGTGTTTACGCAAATACCTGTCACAGTAAGCAAGGCAACCACTTGCAGTAACATATATTGTTTCATATAAAAGTGCAAATCAAAAGTCATGTATATTGACATCCTGCCTAATCCAACCAATTTGTTGCATCAGATTAGAAAAGTACAGTGTTAGACTATCCGATAGACATTCCCAAATCATTATGGTATTTTTCTTCAACTTACAAAATGGACTTTAAATTCCAATCAAAATGAACATATTGATAATCAATTTAAAAAAAGTTTCCTTCTCCTCCAAAGTGGGTTTATAGAAATATGTTATCCTTATTTTCTTATAAAAAATTGAAAGGGGAACAAACTGTTGGTGCCTGGATCATTGAACTTTTCCAAAAAGCACAAAGTTCATGTTTAATGTTTAAACATTTATGAAGGCAGTGTTTTTTTTGTTATGTTGTTACCTAATTCCGGGATATTTCACACTCCGGCACCGGAGTCTTTCCCGTAAACGGAAGAAGAAGAAGAATTAGAGAAATTGAAAATCTGTTTTATTTAGCATTTCAAAAATATGGGTTTTGGGGTATATATTTATGCAAGGGCAAGATTTTGAATTCTCAATACTCAGTTGCAAAATATAGACTTTTGTTAGCCCTTTATTTGAACATTCAGCTGAATATGATGTTCACAACATAGTTTCACTAGTATCAGATGAATTTTTGCCATTGATTACAGTAGTCTTGGTCACTTGAAAACTGTCACATATACGTATACATATAAATAATGTTATATTATATGTATTGTTTCTTCCAGAAAATCATCACCAGTGAAAAAGATATTGACATGTCAGCAAAGCGTCCCCGTGTAGATCTACAATCACTCCCAACAAGAGCATACCTCGACCAAACAGTTGTTCCCATATTACTAAGTGGAATGTCTGTTTTAGCAAAAGAACGGTAAATAACAACCACTTTGTTGTGTGACTGTTCACTTTTCTAAAGAAATTTGAAAAAAACATACTAAACTACTGTCGCCTCCTACAGTGTCCCCCTAGACTGTTTTAACAACAAGTTGCTACAATTCTTGTATAATTTACACTATGCTGTTCTATGAATGTTATATTCCAAACATACATAGGAAATAAAATTGAATATAATAAGTAAGCTATTCATAAATCATAAATGCTCAGATAAAAAAAAAAAATCTGGCAAGAAAACTGACAATTGAACATGTTAGGTGATATATCTGTTATAGTAGAGGGAAATGATTGGGGTTCCGACTTCGAACCAGGGACCCTCCAAACTCTAGATGGATGCTCTACTATTTGAGCTACCTGGTCGCTGGTGTTCAACCCAACCAAGTCAAATTCTGTTACTCTCCTCCCTCCTTTCTTAGTCTTCTCCCCCAAGACATCACTATTTACAACCCAGGTTTAGGTATCCTCTTGCCAAGCATTCATCCAGTACTTGAAACCGGCACAAAATGTTTAAATAGCGGGAAATGCACAGCCAGACTGGGGTTCGAACCAGGGACCTTGTAAGCTACCTGGTCGCCGACAATCGACACAGTCCAGTTCCATTACATGTTGTTGTTCCTAATTAATATAAACTGTCAGAAAAGATATTGTATTTTACTGTAATTGTTATATTTTTCTTTCCAGGCCGCCTAATCCAATCGAATACCTTGCTGCCTACCTTTTAAAAAATAAGAACCAGTTTGATCAGTGAAAGAAAAACAGTGTTACTGGTTCTGTGGGAGTGAAAATGAAATGCCAACTTTCATTTACATTTATTGATATTTATGGAGTATTTAATGTAAAGTTTTCAGATTACGGTCACTTCATTGAAATGTATTTATGGTTTCGCTTTCTAATTAGAAATCAAAGTAGAGGACGTATGGCTGAACATCCCATTTTCGTTTCACATCATTTATTTCAAATTTCCTTTAAATACACTTCTGTCCCCTATTAAAAGTAGTGCTGATCATGAGAAGAAAACGTTGTGCAAGACAAAACTGTGATGTATTGAGAGGGACTTCCTGAGGATAATTTCTGTGGAAACAGCTGGAATTTGTTGACAAGTTCAGAAATTTCAAGTGCAACATTATGTGATAAATGATTCTATATTGTATTGTCAATTGTTAACAGTTTATATAATGTTGTATATTGACTAGTAAATAAATCACATTTTATCATGTCTATCAATGGTGTCGTCCTTTCTTTTAACCTGTAATAGCAACATCCAGACAGGGCAGTTACTGTAGGTAACCAAACTCATTACAACGATGACAAAATCTTTCTTATTTGTAGACCACAGAATGTTCTTTCAGAAAGTAAATGGTAGATGTTTAGTTACAAGTAAAAAATATCCCACACAATTATTGCTGTGGATGTCCACTCAAGCAGATCTAGAAGACACCTGGTTCTGATGGGTCGAATTGTTCGCCTAATAAACCCATGTAATGTAATACTTTTCTACCTAACATATAGAGGATACAATGTAATCTTCATACCGAGCGATTAGATCAATTACCTTTTAAAGCATTTCAGATAACTTTAAAAAGTAAGGATAGTTCTTCATACTTCCAGTTTTGATTGTAAACACTGGTATGCATTGAGCAGAAGTAAATAAAGCTAACATCTATTTATAACTTGTTCACAAGAGGTCAACACGGCTTCAGACCAGGACATTCATGCACAACCCAACTTCTGAAGGTTCTGGAAGACTGGGAAACAGCCATGGATGAGGGGGCCAATACTGATGTCATCTACCTAGACTTCTGTAAGGCCTTTGTTAAGGTCTCGCACAGACTGCTTCTACACAAACTACAAGCATACAGCATTACAGGTAAAGTCAACAAGTGGATACAGAAATACCTGTCAAATCTGAAACAAAGAGTTGTTATCAGTGGAGCCTTATTGAGAGTAGACCAGCGAGGTCCCCATGGAAGTGTTAATTAATGAAGCTATTTGCAGATGATGCAAAAATATACTCGATGTATATCGACACTTCGGGATAGGTTCCAGCTACAAATTAACATCAACAAAGTGAGTGAAAGGACTGAGAGGTGGCTTATGGAAATTTAATTTAGAGAAATGCAATCACTTTAAATTGGTAACACATCCAGCAATAGCCAGTACAACTTCACAACCATGATCGTAAAAACAGACAAGGAGAGCGACCTCGGAGTGACATTCGACAAACAGCTCAAATTTAGTGAACATGTGTCCACAGCCGTTTTCAAAAGAAACAGAATGTTTGGAATTATTTTTAGAACATTTACATTTCTAAATCAATTAACATTCCTATTATGATACAAATCACTTGTCGACCTCATATTGAGTACTGCTCCACAATATGGTCACCCCTCCTATAGAGAGACGAGCTCACAACCACTGGAAAACATTCAACGACTGGCAGCTAAAAGGTTAACCACATAGCAAGACTTACCTTACCCAGACTAAAACCACTAGGACTGCCCACACCTGAATATAGAAGACTAGGGGCGGATACGATTCATGTGTACAAAATTATGAATGGTGTGGAAGATGCAGATAAGTCCAAAATATTTACCGAGTCGACCTATACGACAACTAGAGGTCACCAGCGAGAGCTCTTTAAGAAACAATGCTGCTTAAACGGCACCAAAAACATTTTCCGCAATGTGTAGTTGCTAACTGGAACAATCTATCAGCTAAAGTGGTTAACACCGAAAGTTTAAATAGTTTTAAAGATGGGTTAAACATGCACTGGGAAGATCACGCACACAAGTTTTATCTGTCCTTTTAATTCACTATGTGTATTTATATACTAATGTGACTGTAAGACTTCACTAGTCGAGATGTCCTGATATAGTTTAATGTCATATGCCATTCTTTGCGCACTCCACCATCAATCAATTAACGAAATGCAGATAAAAAAACATCACTACAAGAGGCCCAAGGGCCTTAGCGGTCACCTGAGTTATATCATGGGGACTGGTAGCTTTATTTTATTGTTTAGATGTGATGTGGAAATCAGCATGTAAACTAAGTGAAATACAATACTTGTCATGTCATCAAAGGATAAAAATTTGAAAATATTGGTAAATGTTCCCTTTGGGGCCCTGCCCTAGCCCCTGGGGATGGGGCAGGAATCCCAATTTTACAAAGTAATACTCTCATTCACCAAAGATGATTCTGACTAAGTTTGAGTAATTTTCTGCTGAAAATGGATAAAATATATACCCAAAAGTGTTATTTCCCTATATAAACTATAGTAAACTTTACCCCCTCCCCAAGGGAGAACGGATAGCTCGGGGGTCCTGAAATTTACAATTTAAGTAAAGCCCCTGATGATCTTTCTTTCCACGTAGAGAAAATCACTGTAGTACCTCTGAGTCTGGAGAAGAAGATTTTTGAAATATTGATTAATTTTCCCTTTGGGGCCCCGCCCTGGCCCCAGGGGTCGGGGTAGGAATCTCAATTTTACAATTTGAAACCATCTACCTCCAAGGATAATTCTCACCAAGTAAAAATAATTTCCTACAGAAAGTTGTCAAAATATACCCAAAAGTGTTATTTCCCTATATAAACTATAGTAAACTTTACCCCCTCCCCAAGGGAGAACGGATAGCTCGGGGGTCCTGAAATTTACAATTTAAGTAAAGCCCCTGATGATCTTTCTTTCCACGTAGAGAAAATCACTGTAGTACCTCTGAGTCTGGAGAAGAAGATTTTTGAAATATTGATTAATTTTCCCTTTGGGGCCCCGCCCTGGCCCCAGGGGTCGGGGTAGGAATCTCAATTTTACAATTTGAAACCATCTACCTCCAAGGATAATTCTCACCAAGTAAAAATAATTTCCTACAGAAAGTTGTCAAAATATACCCAAAAGTGTTATTTCCCTATATAAACTATAGTAAACTTTACCCCCTCCCCAAGGGAGAACGGATAGCTCGGGGGTCCTGAAATTTACAATTTAAGTAAAGCCCCTGATGATCTTTCTTTCCACGTAGAGAAAATCACTGTAGTACCTCTGAGTCTGGAGAAGAAGATTTTTGAAATATTGATTAATTTTCCCTTTGGGGCCCCGCCCTGGCCCCAGGGGTCGGGGTAGGAATCTCAATTTTACAATTTGAAACCATCTACCTCCAAGGATAATTCTCACCAAGTAAAAATAATTTCCTACAGAAAGTTGTCAAAATATACCCAAAAGTGTTATTTCCCTATATAAACTATAGTAAACTTTACCCCCTCCCCAAGGGAGAACAAATAGCTTGGGGGTCCTGAAATTTATAATTTAAGTAAAGCCCCTGATGATCTTTCTTTCCATATAAAGAAAATGACAGTAGTACCTCTCAGCCTGGGGAAGAAGATTTTTGAAATATTGGTTAATTTTCCCTTTGGGGCCCCACCCTGGCCCCAGGGGTTGGGGTAGGAATCTCAATTTTACAATTTGAAACCATCTTCCTCCAAGAATAATTCTCACCATGTAAAAATAATTTCCTACATAAAGTTGTCAAAATATACACAAAAGTGTTATTTCCCTATATAAACTATAGTAAAATTTACCCCCTCCCCAAGGGAGAACAGATAGCTCGGGGGTCCTAAAATTTACAATTTGAGTAAAGCCCCTGATGATATTTCTTTCCATGTAGAGAAAATGAATACAGTACCTCTAAATCTGGAGAAGAAGATTTTTGAAATATTGGTTAATTTTCCCTTTGGGGCCTGGCCCTGGCCCTGGCCCCAGGGGTTGGGGTAGGAATCCCAATTTTACAATTTTGTAGCCTCATCTACCAAGGATGATTCTGACCAAGTTTGAAAAAAATCCATCCACTGGTTCTTGAGAGAGGGTTGAAAATGTATAAAGTTTACGCACGACGAACCACGATGGACGGACCTCTGATAGACAACACCCACAATCTATAGGACTGTTTGCATCCTCTGAGGCAACTCACACATCAAGTTTGAACATTTCTATGATCAATCATTCTCAAGTTTCAAGATTTTAATTTAAACGACTTCTTAATAACCAAACGTCCTAGGGTGAAAATATTTTACCAGTAGCATACCGGGATGAAAGGCTACCAAGTCTGTTCAAATGAATGACGTTTGCCCATATTCAAGGTCACAGATTCAAAGATGTATAAAAATTTGAAACAATTTCTTCTGAATAGCCTAAATGCCTAGGGTGAAAATATTTGGCCAGAAGCATGCTGGGATGAAGTGCTACCAAATTTATTTATGTGAATTATCTTCCCTCATATTCAAGCCTTGATAAGTAGACAGGTAGCACAGATAGAGAAGTAAATAGATAGGTAGCACAGATAGTGAAGTAAATAGACAGGAAGCAAAGATAGTGAAGTAAATAGACAGGTAGGACAGACAGTGAAGTACATAGCCAGATAGCACAGATATTGAAGTAAATAGACAGGTAGCACAGACAGAGAAGTAAATAGACAGGTAGCACAGATAGTGAAGTAAATAGACAAGTAGCACAGATAGTGAAGTAAATAGACAGGTAGGACAGACAGTGAAGTAAATGGACAGGTAGCACAGACATTGAAGTAAATAGACAGGTAGCACAGATATTGAGGTATAGACAGGTAGGGCAGACAGTGAAGTAAATAGACAAGTAGCACAGCTAGTGAAGTAAATAGACAGTGAAGTAAATAGACAAGTAGCACAGATAGTGAAGTTAATAGACAGGAAGCAAAGACAGTGAAGTAAAAAGACAGGTAACACAGACAGTGAAGTAAATGGACAGGAAGCACAGACATTGAAGTAAATAGACAGGTAGGACAGACAGGGAAGAACATAGACAGATAGCACAGATATTGAAGTAAATAGACATGTGGCACAGATATAGAAGTAAATAGACAGGTGGCGCAGATATTGAGGTATAGACAGGTAGGGCAGACAGTGAAGTAAATAGACAAGGAGCACAGATAGTGAAGTAAATAGAAAGGTAGCACAGATATTGAAGTAAATAGACAGGAGGCACAGATATTGAGGTATAGACAGGTAGGGCAGACAGTGAAGTAAATAGCCAGGTAGCACAGATAGTGAAGTAAATGGACATGTAGCACAGATAGTGAAGTTAATAGACAGGAAGCAAAGACAGTGAAGTAAAAAGACAGGAAGCAAAGATAGTGAAGTAAATAGATAGGTAGCCCAGATAGTGAAGTAAATAGAAAAGTAGCACAGATAGTGAAGTTAATAGACAGGTAGCACAGATATTGAGGTATAGACAGGTAGGACAGACCGTGAAGTAAATAGAAAGGTAGCACAGATATTGAAATAAATAGGTGAAGTAACTAGACAGGTAGCACAGATAGTGAAGTAAATAGACAGGTAGCACAGTCAGAGAAGAAAATAGACAGGTAGCACAGACAGCGAAGTAAATGGACATGTAGCACAGATAGTGAAGTAAATAGACAGGTAGCACAGATAGTGAAGTAAATAGACAGGTAACACAGACAGTGAAGTAAATAGACAGGTAGCACAGATAGTGAAGTACATAGACAGATAGCACAGATATTGAAGTAAATAGACAGGTAGCACAGATATTGAAGTAAATAGACATGTGGCACAGATATTGAAGTAAATAGACAGGTGGCACAGATCTTGAAGTATATAGACAGGAAGGACAGTCAGTGAAGTAAATAGACAGATGGCACAGGCAGAGAAGTAAAAAGACAGGTAGCACAGATAGTGAAGTAAATGGACAGGTGGCACAGACAGTGAAGTAAAAAGACAGGTAACACAGACTGTGAAGTAAATAGACAGGTAGCACAGATAGTGTAGTAGATGGACAGGTGGCACAGACAGTGAAGTAAAAAGACAGGTAACACAGACAGTGAAGTAAATAGACAGGTAAAACAGATAGTGAAGTTAATAGACAGGTAGCACAGATAGTGAAGTAAATGGACAAGTAGCACAGACAGAGAAGTAAATAGACTTGTAGCACAGATATTGAAATAAATAGAAAGGTAGCACAGATATTGAAGTAAATAGACATGTGGCACAGATATTGAAGTAAATAGACAGGGAGCACAGATAGTGAAGTTAATAGACAGGTAGCCCAGATAGTGAAGTAAATAGACAGGTAGGACAGACAGTGAAGTAAAAAGACAGGTAACACAGACTGTGAAGTAAATAGACAGGTAGCACAGACAGAGAAGTAAATAGACAGGTAGCACAGATATTGAAGCAAATAGACAGGTAGCACAGACAGTGAAGTAAATGGACAGGTAGCACAGATATTGAAGTAAAAAGGCAGGTAGCACAGATAGTGAAGTAAATAGACAAGTAGCACAGACAGAGAAGTAAATAGACAGGTAGCACAGACAGAGAAGTAAATAGACAGGTAGCACAGATATTGAAATAAATAGAAAGGTAGCACAGATATTGAAGTAAATAGACATGTAGCACAGACAGCGAAGTAAATGGACAGGTAGCACAGATAGTGAAGTTAATAGACAGGAAGCAAAGACAGTGAAGTAAAAAGACAGGAAGCGAAGATAGTGAAGTAAATAGACAGTGAAGTAAATAGACAAGTAGCACAGATAGTGAAGTAAATGGACAGGTAGGACAGATAGTGAAGTAAATAGACAGGAAGCGAAGATAGTGAAGTAAATAGACAGTGAAGTAAATAGACAGGTAGCACAGACAGAGAAGTAAATAGACAGGAAGCAAAAATAGTGAACTTACAAAAGGCAGTAAATCAAAGATAGTAAAGAATTGAATTCACAACAAAGAGCAATTTTATCAATTATTTTTATTGTAAAACTTTCATTAGGTATCAAACAAATTTTGTGGCTATTGATAAAATCTTGGTGAAGTCCCCACTGACACCCCTCAGATGTGAGGGTAAGGGGACACGGATCCTGGTCCCTATTGGTGCACCTGTTTCATCAATTAACACTGCATTGTTACTGTCAAACCTTGGCTGCATTGCCTTAGGTTTCTGAACACATCCAACGATGTATGCCTTTTTCCTTTCTTTTTGGATTGACAACAACACTTTGTCTCCAACACGTGCTACCTGATTCCTGGTGTAAACCTGAAGAATTTTCACCTTTTTGCCGCTCTCTGATGCCTTTTTTCCTATCAAGCTGTTATCGACTATTTTCACAGTGGACAATTTCCGCAGCTCACTCAAGGTTTTTGTGGTACTGCATATAAAGAAAACACTTATTAGTGGTTGAAATAAATCTTGCAATCTTAATTAAGAAAATTCAACATAAACATTTTCATACTTGGGCAAGTTCACCATTAGCTTTGACACCTAATCTTGCAAATTTTACATAGAGAGTTTGCAAAGCATTTAATTCATTAGTAACATAAGTTATATGCAAGTAGCATGGGTTTATATTACCTGTGAGGATTTGTATATTCACTGTACAGATTTGTATATTATCTGTGAGGATTTGTATATTATCTGTGAGAATTTGTATATTACCTGTACAGATTTGTATATAACATGTGAGGATTTGTATATTATCTGAGAAGATATGTATATTACCTGTACAGATTTGTATATTATCTGTGAGGATTTGTATAGTACCTGTGTAGATTTGTATAGTACCTGTGTAATAGTACCTGTGTAGATTTGTATATATACCTGTGTAGATTTCTACGTTACCTGTAAGGATTTGTATATTACCTGTAAGGGTTTTGTATATTACCTGTACAGATTTGTACAGTATATGACATGTGAGGATTTGTATGTTACCTGTATGTAAGAATTTGTATATTACATCTGAGGATTTGTATATTACCTGTGAGACTTTGTAATTTACTTGCAATTTAATGGGTGAAAGGCAAATCTGTCTGTTGTTGCCAGTCAACACTTGTGTAGTCAATGGGAATTAAAATCCTTAAAGCAAGTGTGTTACTGTTTATATCTATATACTGGAATTGCAATGTAGAAAATCATAGCAGTGATTAACCAATGAAATACATTTTCTTTTGCAGTATGATAATATAAACACAAAATTATCATAAAGTCCAATATTTGTGACCTTATAACTCGGGCAACTGTGATTATACTATACTTATTGTAACACAGGCAGCTGTGATTACACTAGACTTATTGTAACACAGACAGCTGTCAGATTATATATACTAGACCTATTGTAACACAGGCAGCTGTCAGATTATACTAGACTTATTGTAACACAGGCAGCTGTGATTATTCTAGACTTTTTGTAACACAGGCAGCTGTCAGATTATACAAGACTTATTGTAACACAGACAGCTGTCAGATTATACTAGACTTATTGTACCACAGGCAGCTGTGATTATACTAGACTTATTGTAACACAGGCAGCTATGATTATTCTAGACTTTTTGTAACACAGGCAGCTGTCAGATTATACAAGACTTATTGTAACACAGGCAGCTGTCAAGATTATACTAGACTTATTGTAACACAGGCAGCTGTCAGATTATACAAGACTTATTGTAACACAGGCAGCTGTCAAGATTATACTAGACTTATTGTAACACAGGCAGCTGTCAGATTATACTAGACTTATTGTAACACAGGCAGCTGTGATTATACTAGACTTATTGTAACACAGGCAGCTGTCAGATTATACTAGACTTATTGTAGCACAGGCAGCTGTGATTATACTAGAATTAATCTACACACAAGGGATCAGAGATCAGAATTTATTTAAAAAATTAAAACTATCAAACTTGACTGATTGACGAGTAGCTTTCTACCTGTGGAAGGGTACCTTATCCTTAGCTACCCAATTACAATCACAAACACATACCTAAAGTTACGATGAATGGTACACTGGATACACCTGGCTGTGTTTGGGTGTACAAGCTCTCCAACCAGTCTTGAACTGATGATATGCATTCTGTTCAATCCAATGGATATGTTGTTTACTGTCTATCTGACAGATTCACCTTCTGAAATGAAGTAACAGTTTAAAATAGACAGCAGGGATAGTATTTATCAGTATTCTTATAAAAGAAATACTTTTTCTAGCAGAAAAAAAATTGTGCCATTTACTAACAAGAATGATCATGGTCCGAGCACAGTACCTGTATATTCCTAGTGAACCAGTTGGAATATGTTATAAAACTCTATCTATTTATAACATTCTAGATGTTGATGTTCCATCTTATATTATTTTTTTGTATGTATAGATATTTATGTGATAATACATAGGAACCAGAATGACTTTAACCCTGTGTCTACTGTCAAGTGCAAATACTGCATGAGGTAAAATTCGGCTTGGTGTTGTCCATTTCTAATGTCTGTTTCTAATTATACTAAGTCATATTTCCTCTAACAGCACCCCATCCTTTTTTTTCTGTCCTTTACGTATTACTGTGTTTGCAATAAGGACTGTCTATGCTGAATATCATTATCAGGTATTGGACCACTGTGACATGACATGTTCGTATCAAAGTAGATATGACTTGTTGCTTACATTCACCCTATATTTGATATATTCTCATATTAGAATATATAGCCAAATTGACCCGATTCGTCATAAAATTTTCCTGCGCTCCAGTACCTGTGTACTGAGGCAAGGACATGTTTCAGTTTGAACTACTCCAACATTGTTAGAGGTTTACCACACTGGTGCTCAGGTTCTAAAATATATGTGATATATTCAGGTATTGCAAATCACTTTATGATAATAAATAATTGGGTTCTAGAATGTATCATCTGTGTAAGTATCTCATCCCACTAGATGTTCCAACCCACTATACTAACAAATAGATAATGTTATACATATTCTAGAACCTAATTATTTATTATTATCACAGGGATGTCACAGTGTGATACCCGAAAATATCATTCCAGAACCCGAGCACCTGTGGTTTAACAGTGTAGAAAATGCCACCCCCAAATATAACTGCGACAAATTATCAGGTCCTTGTGATGTAGCTGTAAAGACTTATCTGAAAGTGAAAAAAATGTTTAATAGTTTTAATATGTTTATCAGCAAACATGTAGGAAAAGACAAAGTTGAAAAATGAACCAAAGTGTCGATTACGTATAAAATACAGAAACAACTCATTAAAAGTGGATTCTCTCCTCTTACTGTATTCTCTGTCTTAAACTGTCGTACATGTGTGTCAACTGTTTGTGTCTCATTTTTTGCCTTAGATGTCTCGATTTGACCTCTTTCGGTACCCCTAACACTTTGCTGTTATGTCTTTACAGCTATAGCTGATCAATCGGCAGTGTACAAGATCTGACAATGTTGTACATGTTGTAGAAGGTTAGCTGCGAAAACGTAGCTTTCCGACGACCAGAGAATTTTTTATATATAGCGTCGGGGCAGAGCACAGGGGCTAGCAACGACTTATATGGGATAAGAATAAAAATAGCGAGAAAGAATACGTTACTTTAGTTATATATTTTTTTTAACTATTTTTATTCTTATCGCATATAAATCGTTGCTAGCCGCTGTGGGTACTCCTATAACATAAGAGGCAGCTGGTCGGCCTTTTTTTCTATCGGATATGATTTTGCCAACTGCAACTACCTGTCAAAAGTTTCTCCTCTGTGGGCAGAATAGGGCGGGTATTAATATATCAGTATCCTCGGGCTACCAGTTTCCGTGCACTTAAGAAGCAACTGCGATTTCGTACTCATATCAGCAGAAAACTGTTGAAATTACGGATGATTGTCATAAACATGTATACAATCTACTAATGGAAACAAAAATATAGCAACATAAAACTGTATTTAAAAAAAATCAGAACAAACAATTTTAACAAATTTCTCCCGTCTGAAGTAGCCGTCATATGTTTCCGTTTGTCTATTTTGATTTAGTGTTCAAAGAAAGATAACTCGAATACACTATAAAGAAATTCTCTACGGTGACCTGCAAGAACAAAAGCTTCGTTTGGAATAACAAAAATATCTTTGATCGTCAAATCAATTATCAAAACAATTTATTTTAACTATATAACTCTCACATTTTTAATTGATTTTTCAAGATGTCAAATTGAACAAATTCATGTAATTTTATAAATTTATTTATTATATTTATTAAGTTATAATGTACAATCTGTTATTATTGTTTTTCTGCAGTCTTATATATCGATTTTTGTTGATGGTAAGTTATTTCTCATTTTTTTCTGTTTAAAATTGGTGAAAATTGGATGTTCATTACATTACAAGGTTTACGCTTCATTAAAAAACACTGTTTATCGATATAAGAATGTCTGCTTGGCTCTTCGGGAGTGGACAAAAATTGGCGAGATGTGGCCTCATTTGCATATGACATTTTCGTACGTTTGTCAGACTACTAAAAAGACCGGTTCATGAATGAAATAGTTCACTGTTTCTTCAGGTATGGGTTCATTTTGAGCAAGATAAAAGGTGCATTATGCAAAACTGCATATTTAACATGTTTTTTAATCAGTGATTAATTCTTATGTTTTCCGGACGAACTTCCAGTAATTCTTGTGTCAGTTTACAGACAATGGCCAAACATCTAAAATATCCTGGTGTTGTGTCCAACAGGTCACGTAGTTACGAGATATAGCTTGATAAAATGGCTGCGCAGAAATACATAACTTACCACTTTTAATGAGTACAGGTCTAGAGATCCAGGCTGTATTACAAACATGATGAAATCATTAGATTGGGAATCTTTATCACAAAGAAGGGCAAAAGCTAGATTGTCAATGCTATACAAGATCTCTCATATCGTTAAAATTAACCCATCATCAAACTGGACATCAGGTGACAGACGAACAAGGGGAGGGGGGGCACATAAAATAAACACAATATCTACCGCAAAAGACGCCTACAAATTCTCTTTTTCACCCCAAGAACTGTTATAACCTTGAACTCATTACCAACATCATTGGCCCTTAGTGAGGAATTACCTTCTTTCAAATCCTCACTTGAAGGTTACCACCAGTTAATATAATACCTGAAATTACAAAAAAATAAAATCTTTGAAATGCCACCTCCTAGGGTCAATTGCACTCCAACCTTGGAGTTTAGATCCTTGTAATGGAAGAAGATAACGCGCGGAAACTGGTGACTAGACGATACTAGGAGAAGGTCTGAAACATGTCCTTGCTTCAATGACAGACAAGTGTCACGGGCCGATATAGACAAACACAAAAAAATATCCCACAAATGAGCTTAAAATTTGGGGGAAAATTAAACGGGTTATTGATATTATACTAAATACAAACAAACGTGCATGCTTAATTTCACTAAACTAACTATGCCCTATGCCATGTTGTACTTGCCTTTCGCAAAGCAACCGGAAACTGGGAACAGCTATCTAATGTCCGTGTCGAAGTGCGGGGATAGAACGTCCGGAATAAGGTGCCTCGTTTTATGTTATATGGCGCATATATATATCATAAACCGAGTCAAATCTCGTAATCGACTCTGCCGAAAAACAGTTTGAGTAAATCAGGAGTTTATTGATATTTTCTCGAGATTTCGTCTCCTAAAGGTCGTAATGGTTCATTTTCCCGGTAGTGCTAGCCTAATGTCGTCTGAAAATCAAAATGTTGATTTCACCAGAGACGTATATAACACGTTTATACGTCTCTGATTTCACCAACAGTCAGAATTTCATGTGAAATATGTCGTTTATATCTGAAAATAACACGTCAATTTTCCCTTAATTTCTAGTTTTATGTGAAAAACCGTGATTTTGACGATTGACTGCGGCCAGGGACAGTATATAAATATGCAATCATTAGCAGGTGACAGTGAATATTGTCAACCCGAGAAAAACATTGTCACCCGAGGCGAAGTCGAGGGTGACAATGGGTTTTTGAGGGTTAACAATATTCACTGTAACAACGACATGTAATTGTCACATTTAGAAAGTAATGTTTGAAATTATTCTATATTAAAAAAATATATAAACGATCGCGTTAATGAGATATTAAAATATCTTTATATTCCTGGTACGGGGTTTCAGTCCGGGAACCGGGAACAAGATTTACCTACCACCGTCAAGGCTCGCCTTCATCAGCTTACTAGGTCCAACCTTATTTAATAAACGAACAACTGTAGTTCGACCGGTTTTTAACCGTTTAAACGAAAACGACCGAGCGCTCGTTGAAATATTCTTTTTCGACGTTCATATCCTCTCCTGTGATATTAGCGAGTTATGGTGACTTAATGGTTTCCGGCACAAAAGAGTTCCATAATTATTCCAAAAGAGAACGCAGGTCGCTGTGAATAATATTTGGTTTTACCGAGTACTAATGAAGAGGAAAAGTAAGTTGCGCTGTTTAAAGTTTCGTTTTTCAGGACCAGATGCTATTTCTTATTTAATATCTATATTAAATATCTATTGGTCTTACAATTGGCCATTGTAAGACCAAAACTCGAATACTGCTCTTCAGTTTGGGACCCACATTATACAAATAACATAAATCAATTAGAAAAAGTACAACGAAGAGCAGCACGATATGTCCTAAACAAATACCATAACACAAGCTCAGTTACAGACATGATACATAACTTACAATGGCCAACACTACACACACGCAGAACAAGAACACGCATTATACTTCTCTACAAAATAATAAACCAACAAGTAGCAATACCCACTAACAATCTCATCCCGGCAGACACCAGAACACGTCAAAGACACGACCGTAGTTACAGACATATCTTCACATCCAAAGACACATACAGACACTCATTCTTTCCATACACCATAATACAATGGAGCCTCCTTCCCACAACAATAATTCAATCAAATACTCTAGCAGAATTCAGGACATGCACCACATACAACATAATCGAACATATACAAAAACTACAACATAACTAACACTCACTCACTGCTTTTAACCTGTTTTTATTCTATAGCAAATAAAAAAATAATCACTGTACATACTTAACGCACAACAGCACAATGACCCTACTACCGTAATCGTTGGTATCGACGGAGGAAGTCTAACAGATGAAGAAGATATACTTTCTAGTATAGCCCATTGACAGGTCTGTAACTAATTTACCACAATGTGTGTATACATATATACCAAACAGTAAAACAACTCTCTATTCTTTCTTTTTTTGAGACTTGTGATCTCTACAGGCCTGTCAGTCCTTTTTTACAACTGAATACCCTATTTTATATAAATCAAGATGCAACTTTTGTTACCACCCACTGCACATGTACATAATTTTCACAAATTTTTGAGAAATAAAGTCCTCTTCAAATGCCTCCAAACGCAACCGGAAGTGAAGTGGATAATATAAAGAAGCGAATAGACGCTAACAACGGTGTCACCTGCAATGAACCAATGAACCAATAAAAATATTTGACGTAGGAATATTGTATGCGATATCGTGATCATGAAATATTGTATGACTGGTGCTGCTGCAGTTTTACAAGGCTGGTTAATTACATAACTGGACCGCAGAGCAAATCTTTCCACCAATACTCAAAGGATAACGATAAATCAAACACAGCACGATACAATGTAGAGATGTTGGTTTAAAAAGGGTCGATCATTATACGCATGAATTGACATTACAAAACACTAAGACCAATGTATCAAACAGTTAACTGAAACTTTTTTTACAAGGATAAGAACTGTGATAATTTTACTGTTTTGAAAGTACAGTGCTGGACCAAAATGGAAATTTATTTTTTAAAGTCTTTCCGGTAATGTACTTTACATATGCCATTGTTAAAAATTCTTAGTTACCTAGTATACTAATAATCCATTTTTTTTATATCTAGGTAGGATGGTCATTGTGGCTGTGATACATATTTGGACCACAGAATGGACAGGAAGACGGCATATATAAGATAGATGATATGTTTTCTTTTTCAATGGATCTTGACTGTCTTCCTTCCCTACCTGTATTTAAACATATAACAGAATCTTATCAAAATCTACCTATTTTTTAGCTAAGCATAACATGTTTCATTTATTTATGAACGTTTGTTTATGGTAGTTTTTCCAAATATCATCAAGTTGAGGAAAAACAACATAACAATCAAGACATTTTTTTAGTTTAAAACCATTCATTAAATAAAAAAAGAAAGAAATAGAATATCGAAATGAAGAAAAAGAAGACTGTCATTTATGCAATATTTATTGCCATTGGTGTATATTTGTTTGTGCAAATTAGTTACTTTAATGAGGCATATAGCCCTCTCCAAGTTTTGTCTGATGCTCGGAGTGAAGCAAAGCGTCTTCTTCGGTTTATTACCCTACAACATTTCCAATGTAACTCCACCATACAAATCTCAAATAATACCTACTGGCCCATCTGCACAGAGAAGGATGGAGGAGTCAACATTGACACCAGGGGCAGGAAACTAGCATATTCTATAGGGCAAGTATATTCTATTAATACATGCTTGTTATTGAAATTATACATATTGCTTTTATTGTGAAAAAACAAGAATTCTAGAAATATAGTTTATTGTTTTATATCAGGATCCTATGACTAGGATCTAGCACACATATCAAGTATTTTAAAAGAATTTAGCTCACCTGGTACAAAGCAGTACCATGGTGAACTTTTGTGAGCTTCGTCCATCTGTTGTCTGTCGTCTCATTCATCAATACCTCCTCCAAAACTACGGAGCAGAATTCAACTAAATTGCGGCTGAAGACCCCTTTGCCCATGAAGATTTTTATACTTAAATAAAGGGGCTGACTTTTCTGGGATTGAGGAATGGAGTCAAGACAGATCAATTACCTGATCTAGCATTATTTTCAATCAAACTACAAGAAAGTTTTCAACCAAAACATGACAGTAGCAACTTTAGCCCATGGGATAAAATGTAAAGGGGTCAAATTTGCAGATTTGATTAATATCTCTTTTCATAATAAAGACAAGGTTTCTATTCAATTGTTGTGTTAATTAGCATTACAAGCCTTTGAGGATAGAAAGTTATACAAATAAAGTGGCCAATATTTCTGGGATCTGTCCTACCAAACTACTGGGCACATTTCAGCCTTACTTCCAAAATAGCTAGGTGGGTGCAGTGATGCAAGGAACTGGGGGCCTCTTAATTTGTCATCCTTTACTTTTAAAAGAAAATATATTAACCAAAAATTTCTTCTGATGATGATTTAAGAGTGAATATTGCTGTTCTATATATACTGAAATTAAGTATGAATACATTTATATGCGGTGACGTTTATTAAGATTTAGAACCCATGTCTTTTACTATTAGATTCAACTTTGTTAATATGGAATAAGTGATTTGTTCATATGTTTATCTTTTCTTTTCTTTTTTTCAGACCTAAAGGGGATTTAGAATTTGAAAGGATTGTTGCAAAAAATTTGTCTTTTAATCTGTACATGTTCGATACAGACCTGACAACAGTAGACTTTTCTCTGCGCTCTAACAACACACGGTCCATGCACATATCTGTTGTACCGAATGATCCTGCTGACTTTGTACGCAACTCTTATGATACACAGACAATAAATAATATAATGTTGAGCCTTGGCCATACCTATATAGACATCCTAAAGATGGACCACTTTGTAGACAGCAGTCAGTCACATGATGTCCTGTACTTCATGATCAAAGATGACCTTCTGTCGCGAGTCGGACAACTCCACATCGCCCTCCATATTGGTATGTAACAGACCAGCTGCTGCTAGCATATATTATATAGTGCACACAACAGCAGACTAGCATGTTACTGGATATAAAGTATAAAATGTAGCAGTCTCATTTGGTTATAATTTACAAACATGATACTGCTGAAGCCTCACATACTCTTTTTCATACATGGATTTTACTTTTACAACTGCTAGTCTTATGAATGTTTTGGGTATGTTTTGCTACTAGACTCATCCAATATCGTAAACACCTTGCTAAAATAATAATCTAACTGGTATGTTATATATATTAGTACCTCAAGACATTGAAATCTAATTGGAATTCAGGCTTTACCTATAAGTTTTGTTTGTTGTTGAATTCTGTCTTACCTACAAGTTTTGTTTTTTGTTGAGTTCCGTCTTTACCTACAAGTTTTGTTTTTGTTGTATTCTGCCTTTCCTACGAGTTTCGTTTGTTGTTGAATTCTGTCTTACCTACAAGTTTTGTTTGTTGTTGAATTCTGTCTTACCTACAAGTTTTGTTTGTTGTTGAATTCTGCCTTACCTACAAGTTTTGTTTGTTGTTGAATTCTGCCTTACCTACAAGTTTTGTTT